TCCACATCCTTGTTCTCAGGTGGCGGCAATGGAGCAGTCCTTGGGGCACCTCCAACCTCCAGATCGATTTCTTCATTCTTGTGGGCGGGGACATCGAAGTTGAAGTTGCCCATCATCTTGGAACCATACGACCCGAGTTTGCTTGGCCGATGGCCAGTCACTGTTCCTTCGTGATAGTACGAGGCTTTGCGGTTGGTGCCATATTGTGGGAACAGATGCCGGAAGAGACACTTTGTTGCGGGCGCACACGCTGTCATTATATGTACAGCTGGCTCAGCGATACTGATTACAATCCCGATATCCCATGTGCGGTCTTTGTTGGTAGGTGCGAAGCGGTAATAGTACACAATGAACCGCCCAACGGAGACTCCTGTCGCGATCCATCCTAGGCTCATAACAAACACTACCAGAATCTTCGTGCGTTGGTGCATCTGGAGATTCCACACCATGATCGTCGGAATTGGCATAATGATGAGATCCATGAAGATTGAAAGACCACAGGACACCAGAACGAAGGTACGGGCGTCGATGCATTTACCGCCTGGTATGACAGTTCCATTGGGACCAATCTTGTCCATGGCAGGTCGAGACCAGACATAGGGGTATGGAGTGCATTGGGTCAAGTTGACGATGGTCGATCCTACGGAGTAGACAATGTTGAGCCAGGCGACAATATGCAATGGATATCGTACTCGCCGACGGCTGTCCTTCATCCGGAAGAGAAAAACGATGATTGAAGCTCTGATCAACCCCATGACTAAAACTATGTCAGCGAAGATGGTCCAGACACAGACCTGGAGAAGCACATACGTGGGTGATACAGCATCTGGATTGAAAAGTTCCAGTGTAGAGCAATGAGTTGCTCATGGACAGACTTCTTGGGCAAGTCATACACGTGGTAACCTGTACCACTCAAAACGATGTAAACCCATGTCGCAATTGTATCCGCGAGGAAGATTACAGCTGCGATGAGGATGAGGTAGTCGTCCCAACAGAAGTTTCGTCCAAGGTACCGGGACCACACCCTCAGAAAGACCGTCAAGGAAGCGACAACTGTAAAAGTACAGACTATCGCGAGGGCGGCAGGCTGTCGGTTCTCGATCATTCTGGAGGCGGTCGTCGCCCGCGGCGAACGACGAAGAAAGTCCCAAGGGTCAGACCTGCTGAGTTGTTGACGATGTAGGAGGTACCTCCCAGCTTGATGATCTAGAAGCCGAGAGTTCTCTGGTGTGCGATGATCGTTGGCCCTAGACAGATGATCACTGTCGCGAAGCGAGTGTGGAGTATCGGCGCGATTCGACGGGCTTTTGGAGAGACGAAGCGGAGAAGATGAACGGTCTTGGTCCACTCAGAAAGAACCAATGCACCTCCGACGGGTACCTTTGATGTTGTTGCCCTACAAGTGGATGGCTCAGTGCGTGCGAGAGGTCGCACAGCCAGTGCCTTGAGAGCAAAGATTTGAAAGGATTCGCCCACAGACAACTCGTCGGCGAGGTTGGAGACCAAACCGGACATGCCGCTGCTCTAGACTCTGAATCCGGTTATAACAACCCGTCCAAGCACCTGAGACATTGGTCGACATTGACACTGGCCCTTACGCGCGAAACCACCGCGGAAGCCGTCTATCTTCCGCCTGTGTAGCTTGCTGCCGCTTTACCACAACAAGTGCTAGAGTGTCGCATGAAGCTGAGAACGGCTCGTTTCGGACCGAATTCGGGCTGACATGTCTAGCCGTCCTGTGAACTCTGGTTCTGGCCGCTGGCGCAAGGCAGGGCAGGGCTCGAGTACGAAAACTGCCGCGCACGACTACATACCCGCGAGTCAACGGCTTGGTATGCCCATGGTTGTGGAAAAATGTGACGTCGATCACTGAGCCTAGCTTCTTTATGCCTGCGTGTGGCTTAAGGGGAGCATTTCTATTTGGTTAGTTTATTGTCCGATACGGGGACCAAGCCAACTACTTACTCAGGATGTCCACGTTCTTGCATACATCATACAACATGTCACTCGATATCTGGACGTGTATGAGAAAAGACGAAGCTGATGATAATCGGCCTCGTGTTTGGTGGGGGTCACGGTGAAACACAGATAACGGTAAGGGTGAGGCTCAAGAGGGTAATGGGAATGTTCGTCGATCATGACTCTCTACCATGACGCTAGCATCGCATTAGCTCAAACGCAATGCCGACCCCGGACATCAAGCTCCACTTCTATTCAGAGGATACATGCCGGGCTCCAGTCCTTAGCATGGTACCTGAATAGCACGTGGCTGCCCACGGGCGCCCGCCTTGCGTATTTTCACACATTTTTGCTAAGGGGTCAGGGGTCCGTTATCACTGCAGAGGCCGAGACCCAACTCCGACGATGCATGCCCGTGTCTGTGAAGAAACACGCATTTTGCCACATGGTCGTACGCAATACTATCACGGTGTGCGTGGATAGGCTGTGAGTCGATGGATCAATTCTAGCCCCATGTCATCCATCCCGGCTGCCCCAACTGTCAACGCGTCTTTCTGTACAAGATCAGCAGTCACATTCAATGCGACCGCATTAGCCCACGTCGTGCCAAGGACGGCATGCTCAATGTTGCCTCCTAAATTGAGTCAGTCAGTAAGATGAGCAGAATGGCCGCCCTCTTGATACTCGTCCTACCGCGTAACGGTCCGTAGCTCGCCAGCTCCCGCAAGCACCAGGGGGAAAGGTAAGCAATAGCAAAAGACGATAGTACGAACAAACTTTCTGATGAACATTCAGATCAGCATCTACTCAGACTGTGGCCGATCCCTTGCCAGAACTTGTCCTCTCGGTCTGACTCGAAGACCCTAAACCGGGACGCAAAACCGTTGCGACTATGGCTGTAACGTTATGGCTCACGGCTTTGGCCGCCGCGTCAGCAGCTGCCTTTCCACATGTTTCTGCGAAAGTTGAGTCCAATGTGTTCAACGCAGAAGTTGATCTGCAGGGCCTCTCTCCTACAGTCAAGGCTCTCTTTCTCCCACGCTCCTCTGGCATCACTCCTCCCAAAAACTCGACTTCCAGGTGCAAAGTTTACCCTGGAGACCCTGAGTGGCCCTCAGACGAAGCCTGGTCCCAGCTAAGCAAACTCACTGGCGACCGCGTCATCACTGCGCCTACTCCTCGAGCTGCAGTTTGCTACCCAGGCGAGGACTACAACGCCGCAGAATGCTCCAAATATACCGTTGCAGAATGGCAGAAGTCCTACCTCCACATGGTTGATCCAATCGAGATGATGTCCCCAGTAGCACAGGGCATGACATGCACCATCCCAGCCCTCTTCGACTCTCACGGCTGCACTCGAGGTGGCTTTCCCATGTATGTCGTCAACGCCACCGAGCCCAAGCATGTTCAACTTGCCGTCAACTTTGCAAGGAATACGGGCGTTCGACTCGTCATTAAGAACACCGGCCATGACTTTCTCGGAAAGAGTGGTGGTAAAGATGCCCTTAGCATCTGGACGCACAACATGAAGGACATTGAGTACATTGAGGAGTATGTTGACTCAAAGCTCAACTACTCGGGCCCTGCATTCAAGAGCGGTGCTGGTGTCCAGGCGTTTGAACTCTACAAGGCTGCTTCTGAAAAGGGCAGAGTTGTTGTTGGCGGAGAAGGCGAGACAGTCGGCATTATGGGAGGCTACATCCAGGGAGGAGGCCACTCACCCCTAACTCCCCTTTATGGCACTGCTGCCGACAGTGTCCTCTCTATGGAAGTCGTCACTGCGGATGGCGAATTCGTCGTCGCAAACTCGACCTCCCACACCGACCTTTTCTGGGCCCTCCGTGGTGGCGGCGGCAGCACCTTCGGCGTCGTCACCTCCGTAACTGTAAAAGCACATCCAGACCTCCAAGTCACTGCCTCCCGCTTCGGCTTCAAATCCAGCGACACAGGCGTAGAGACCTTCTGGTCCGCCATCCGCGCCTACGTCGACTCCTTCATCGCAAACGCTGACGCAAGCACCTACACATACTGGGTTCTAATCCCCACCAACGGCACCTTCTCCTTCTCTTTCTCCCCCTTCTTCGCCCCCGGAAAATCCCTCGAAGAAGCAACCGCCTTGCTCCAACCCTGGTTCACAGAACTCGACAACCTAGGCATCAAGTACGACCCAAACATCACCCACTTCGACAACTTCTACTCCGCCTGGAGCTCCTCCTTCCCGCTAGAAGCTGTCCAGAAGCCCAACGTAGCAACCGCCTCGCGCCTCTTTCCCCGCGCAAACTTCGAGACTGCGGAGAAGCGCCAGGAGTTTTACGAGAATATTCGTCGCTCCTCGGAAAACAACCGTGTCCAGGTGCACTTCAACATGCAGGCTAAGGACCCATACAACACTGATAACGCGGTGAACTCGCACTGGAGGCCTCTCACCTCCTTCAGCATGCAATCGGTGCGCTGGCCCCTGAACAGCACTGCCGAGCAAATCCTCAAGATCCGAAAGGATTTCCAGGAGGGTGATATGCAGGCTTGGAGGGATATTAGTCGTGGTGCGGGTTCGTATCTTGCTGAGGCGGATCGCTTGGAGCCAGACTTTGGAGAGGCGTTCTTCGGTGAGAAATACCCGAGGTTGTTGGAACTCAAGAAGAAGTTGGATCCTGAAGATGTGTTTTTTGCGACGACCGGTGTGGGCAGTGAGCGGTGGAGGGTGGAGAGTGTTGATGGGCTACCGAATGAGAATGGAAAGTTGTGTCGTGTTGAGGTGTAAAAAAGTGGGATTGTAGGTGATGGGCGGTGTATATGATTTTCTTCTTCTTATATATATTTGGCATTATGCCTTCTTTATTTCCTTGAGTAGATCGGCCGTTCTTTTGAGGCCTTGTCGCTCATTGTACTGTACTTGTAAGGAGATCAAAATTACATCCGTGAATGGGGAAGACAAGCATTTGCAGCTTGAGAAATTAGAGATTATTCATATTTTCTTCGGCTTGCAGTCGTGATCCTAGGATATTCTTCCAACAACTTATTCGTAGGAAAAGATGAGTCATCTACATGAGAAACACCCGCCTTGCAACTTTCATCACGGGAATCATCAGCTTGTTCACTACGCCAGACTGTGGTGACCCACGCAAAAACCATGCATATACAGAATTCCAGGCATCATTACCATCACCTTCAAGAACATCTCCATGGCAAGGAATGATACGCACAATCTGCCACTGAGCCACTTTCTTCGCATCACGCCGCATAAGAGCGTAATCCACAGTCGCAATATAGTAGATAAGCCGCTTCATCCATACAGATCCTGGGTGTGCTCTCTTTGCGAATTCGCGTGAGAGCGGACCTTGGTCTGAAGAACTCGGGTGGTATTGCTGTTATGAATCAGCTCTTTGTACTTCAATCACGCAAAGATGATCTGGAAAAGATCCTGACACGCAATCAAAAGCATACCTCAGTAGACGGTAAATTCATCATAAGATCGGATTGTATCAGTGTCTGCGTCGGCTTGTGGTACCAAGCCACACAGTATGTAATAAATCCTTCAAAGAGCACAGTCTCCACATCTTGCGCAAAGTCAAATTGATCTTCAGGGGTTGAAGTCCAGTCTTTGTAAATGTAGTCCCACTTCACGTCTTTTCTCTTCTTATCCAAGCCAGGAACACCAATGGTTTTTGCTTCTGGCCACGCATCCGTAAACTCTTTGATGAACATGTGGTGACCAAGGTCGCTGGCGATAAGGTGGACGCCTCCGAGTTGGTTGAGTTTTTCGCGCACGGCTTGGTTGAGTCGGATGGGGTTTAGCAGGAGGATGCGACCATCGTGTAGTCGGATGGCGGTTGCGCGGTTGCCGACAGCGACGAATTTGCGGTAGCCAAGGGGCGCAAAGCGGTTGAAGGGGACTGTGAATGTTGTGATTCGTGGGGTGACGTCCCGGATTTTAAGTCCAGAAGTTGACATAATTTGAGATTCAAGCTTGTTTGGATTCGTCGAATTCTTTCGCACGCAACAAAGTGGATATCGTGTTTGCGCAACCTTGGGGAGGGCATGAGTAAGATGTTGTGTCTGGCGCGCACTTGTATACCATGCTTCATTATGGCGTCATGGAATACGCGGCGCTCCAGGAAGCCCGAAGTCCTACAACACCGCAACTGCCCATGACCGTTTTATGGCTCCCCAATTCATGTGACAGAACTTCTGCACTTGTGGAGGCTGCGGAAGACGCAAACCTGATCATGAAGACTCGTAGAACTCTTCAGTCTCTTTTAATTAATTCGATCCAAGAGTGATTGGAACTACAAATAGCTACCACTTGAGAAGCGGTCACTGAATCCTTTGGACTTGTTTAACATTTCCCTCCGTTGTTTGTGGGTCGTCATGCCACCGACAGCCATGTCCTTTTTGTAGTCGAATGCACGCTTGCTGGGATCGTCTTCTTCTTCTTTTCCGGTGCCCTTTTCCTGATGTTGCTCGACAAGACTCTTTCCTCTACTTGCATCAATCTTCTCACGCATCTTGCGTGCACGGCGCTCTTCCTCTTTACTGCGCTTCGACTCCGACGTAGCAGGAGCCGCGTTAGTAGGCGCGGTGATGCCCAGAGCCTCGTCCTGCAACCGCTTGAGCTTCTGCTCTGGAGTCTCTGTCCAGGCGCTGCTCATTCCTCCCGTACTGCCCGCGCTCTTGCCTGTGTTGAACTTGCGAGCGCGCATCTTTGTAGGGTCCATACGGGCAGCAAGATCGTCCTGGGTAGGCGGTAGAGTCATCCACTCGTCGCGCTGTGCCGCCTTGGGAGCCTCGGCAAATTGGGGCTCTGTGTCAAAAGCAGACTTTGCTGAGGCGATATCGAAGCCTGATTGAGCACCTCCTGGTGGTGGTGGCGCTGGCCCAAAGTCATCATCGCTAGTGTCCGAGTCATCGTCACTGGGAGGGTCCTGAGGTCGCTCCTCAAGAGGCGCAGGAGGCGCGGCAGGCCCTATGACTCGGGCTGGTTTCGAACTGGGCGGAGGTGCTGGGCCAATATCACTGTCTAGGCTGCTTGGTCGCGAACGACTTTGTGGTGGTGGAGCTGCTGGGCCGGCGACCCTTTGGCGCTTGTCGGTCGACTGTGGACTGGATTCGCGGTCGTCGTCAGCCTCATCGCGGCTGCGTTTGGCAAGGTGTGGCGGTAATGTTGGTCCTATTGAGGGCATGCTGGGTATAACTTTTCCCAGGTGTTTTGGGTGAAGGGCTTACTGTCGCGTGCAGCAAGGTGACGTCCTTGGGGGAGCTTGGACCTTGGCCATGGGTGCGGCAGATGCGGCCATCTGCGAACTGTGCCGTCAGTTCCTCAGGTACACCACCCTGGCTATACTGGAGCCACAGACTCGCACTGGATCCTCTCGTCCTCCTACGCATACAAGAATACACGGCGACCATACCCACCGCAGCGTTGCCACGGCGCAATTGAACCCTTCCGCCCAGCCACCAGCCACAGCATCCGTGGCGCGAACCATCACCCAGGCCCCCGCGCATTCGTCATTCCACACCGGCACCCTCCCTAGAGCTACACTGCAAGAGCCGGGCCATACATTCTCGCTGCCATCCAATGATCGTCTGAAGCAATGCTGCGTGCAGAACGAGCCCCATGAGCTCAGATTCAGGAGAGAGCCATTCCAGCGCTCACAACCACTATGGCCAACAGGCAGACGTCACGGGAAGCGCCAGGGATGATTTGGCTGAATACGAGGATAGTGTCGATGAGAGCGTCATTTCCCAATCAGGCGCGGGGAAAGAAGAGGACGGAGGTACAGATGGGGTCCCATCGGCAGACGACGGTTCTGAGAAGTTGACATTCGCAAAAACGAGGCGGACTGGCCCACGAGAACGTGTACAAAAGTCGGCTTCAGATTTATCAATAAGATCCAAGGCTCTGAATGACGACAGTCCCGCGTCGACAGACATTCCAGACGACACTCCATCAGTCCAAGGCTCAGGCATATCATCCCCCACAAGCAGCCAGCCTCTATCACACAGCTCACTCCGCCCGCATCGCCCAACCTCCTTGCAGCCCTTTGAGCGTCGCTTTTCTTCGCGTCTATCCCCCTCCCCGCTTTCTTCCCCTCGAGGAACCTCGCCTGCCTTTCTGTCACCGCATTCACGGCAATCTTCTATATCTAGCAATGTTGTCATCCAACATTTGACAGACGACGCCTCCGAGGCCTCTCAGGCACCATGGGAGGTTGTCCGCTGGACAAAACTTCGAAAAATCACAGCCCAGGTCTTTTCAGAGGTTGGCAAGCGCAATTTTGGCCGCCCAACATGCCTAAACGTCACCGTTTCCCTCGCCATAGGTACCTCGAAAGGCTTCATTCTCATCTTCGACTACCAGCAGGTGCTCAAGTCTATCATCGGACCAGGGACAAAGGCCATAGAATGCGGCTCCATCACTGCCCTAGCTATCTCTGCAGACCATACTACTATCGCTGGAGGTCATGCTACTGGCCACATCTTCACTTGGGAATTGGCCAAACCCGCCAAGCCTTTTCTTCATATCCCACCCCTAGACAGAGAAAGCTTAGAGGATGGCAAGACAGACGGCCACGTATCGGGTGTAGCAATCCTACACCTGGGGTTTTTGGGGACACGCCATACGGCACTCGTCTCCGCTGATGATGCTGGTATGGCATTTTCCCACCTGGCAACACGTGGGTTAGGCGCCCTTGGCCGCACAGTAAAGACGACTCGGATTCTAGGAAGGTACCCCCTATCGGCAAAATCACTAGAAAAACCACGAAAGCCGAGTTCCGTCCTCGCCTTTGCTCCACTACCTCTCGGAAACGTGGAGCAGCCGACCGACGACATGGGCCTAACGGCTCTCTTGACACCCTATCTTTTGGTAATCGTATCAACCACCCCTATTGCGCAAACACAGCACAAGGCCCCTCGTCCAAAAGATGTTGTAGCACATAGCGCGCTGAGCGGATGTCTTGCTTGGTTTCCAGCAGTCAAGCTGAAGACTTCGAGTGGGCCGACCAATGCAGTGTCCAAAACCAAACTTGTGTACTGCTGGTCAAACGTCCTGACTGTACTCGATGTCCACTCGGATGCAGCAGCATCTTTAGAAAAGGACAAACCGCCAGAGCTTCGTTTCAAACCTCGTAGCCGTTGGAAGGCAGAAGAGGCAATCGTCGCTGTTCAATGGCTCAGCAGATCAGTCCTGGGCGTACTAACAATCAGTCAGCGCTTGATGATTCTAGAAGACAACACTTTACGTGTGACCGACTCTTTTGATCTGCTCCAAAAGCACATTTACCACTCTGATCTCTTCTCGCGCCAACTCAAACCCGTCGTTGAGCAGTTAGATGAAAACGATGCTTCGATGCATGGCGTTGTGGCCGACGCCTTCTACATGAGCTTTAGAGTGTACAAGGGCCGCATGTTTCTGCTAGGCTTCAACGACTGTTCTATTGGCACTCTTTCAAACTGGGCAGATCGTTTGTTGGCACTCATGGAAGATGGTGATTACATTGCTGCCCTTGGCCTCGCAACTTCATACTATATTGGTGATGCAGACAAAATCACTGTTGGATTACCCGAGGATGATGAAGCACGCCATGCTTTAGTGCAGCCGAAATTGCGTGAGATGATTACTGCATCACTCAAATACTCCTTCTCGCAAGACAGTGATGTCGACGACGAAGCAAGAGAGCGGCGACTGAAAGAGCTGGCCGAGGTGGTGTTCGCAGGACTAATGAGTATGAAAGAGCTCGACTTTCTTTTCGAAGATGTGTATGATGCCTATGAAGAAGCATCGGCGGAGAAGGCTTTTTTCGAAACCCTCGAGCCGTATATACAAGACGAAGAGATTGATTCCATACCACCCAACGTTCTGAAGGATCTCATCACCTTCTACGCCTCAGCGAACCGCTCAGTCCAACTTGAAGAGATGATTTGTCGACTCAGCACAGACACAATGGATCTCAACCAGGTCACAACACTTTGCCAGCAGTATGTCTTGTATGATGCGCTGATATATGTCTGGACCAATGCAATTGGAGACTACATCACGCCTCTCGTCAACATTCTAGAGCTGATTAAGCTGGTGGATTTTGACGTGAATGAAACGGACAACATCTACCTCACTGCGGCCAACAAAATCTTTCCATACCTCGCATATACCTTTACAGGACGGGTGTACCCTGGAGGTGCATTCATGAACGACGACCAGGCTTACAGTGCGAAGAAAGATATGTACCGTTTCTTGTTCTCAGGAAAGAACCTGCAGTGGCCCCCCGGCTCTGGACAGGTCATACTCACACAAACCGACGGTAGTCCTGAACCACCTTTCCCTTACCTGCAACTGGTCCTTGAATTTGATGCTTCAAGCTTCATGAGCATGCTGAACGAGGCCTTTGAAGATAGCTTTTTGAATGGTGAGCAAGACATGTCCAACGGTACACAAGTGAACGGCACAAAGAGCGGCTCTACCCTTACACCAACTCGCCAGTCCATCATCAACTACCTGTTTGGTATCATGAATACGGACAATTTTGATCCGGCAGACATTATCTATTTCTACATGTTTGTAGCCAGAAATCTGCCCAAGTATCCACAACACATCATGCTGCCAGGAACGTCTTTACACCAGGTCCTTGTTGGTCTATGTAGCTATCCCGCAGAAGCGATGAAGGAAGACTGTCAGCTCTCTGTCGAGTATCTGCTTTCTATCTACCATCCACCGAACCCACAGTCTCTCATCCCGCTGTTCGAGAAGGCTGGATTCTATCGCGTGTTGAAGTCTGTCTACCGCAGCGCACAACAATATGACAAACTGCTGGAAACATACCTGGATGAGGAGGAGGAAGAAGACTCTGTGTTTGCATGTATTGCTGACGTTCTGCGGCCAAACAAAGGTCTTACAAAGAAGCAGCTCAACGAGGTCAAAGCAGTTATCCTCAACCGAGCTGCTGACCTGGCTGCTGTTGGCGCGTCACAAGCCGCTTTAACAGTAAAGCAATACACTCCCGATCTCTTAGAGTCAGTTCTAGATGCCATCAAAGAGGATACTGATGCTCAATATCACTTCCTTGAGGCTCTCGTCGAACCGAACCGGGCGCAGGCAGGAGGCACCAAGCCCATCGATGAAACCCTTCCATCAGGCTTCATTGAAAGATATGTGCAACTCATGTGCACTTATAACAGTTCACATGTGGCGGACTTTGTCAGTATGTTGAAATCGGGTGATCTCAAACTGGAACCCGTACTTCCAGCCTTGGAGAAGAGTGGTGTCATTGACGCTGCAGTCATACTCATGGCACGTGACGGAATTGTTCAAGGAGCTATGGACCGCTTAGTCAAGCATTTGGGTACGCTTGAGACTGCCTTGACGGGACTCATCAACGGCGCTGCGGAAACGCCCGATGCAGCAAATACAGAAGAGGCAATTCACGATATCCTCGACGACATTCAGAAGTACATCAAAGTCGGCGTATGGCTATGCCAAGGCCAGACGCGGATAACAGAGCGAACGCCAGAATCTACCATTGATCGGCGGAAGTCAGCCTATGGTGAAGTGCGCGAAGCCGATCTTGCCTTGGATGAGCTGCTGTGGCTCGACCTCGTTGATACCTCTGTCCGTCTCATCAGAGATACATCCAGTGCAGTTGCCGAACACGACGCTCGTATTTCCTCATCAAACAACGCTCCAGCCGACACAGTCGACACAGCACGCATCGTCTCCACCCTTCGCTCCTCAATCCAGCAAACATTCTCCGCCCTCCTGACATCCACCACCATTCCCCCAGAAAGGAAACCAACCCGCCGAACACTTAGCATCGACGCAGTCCCGACTCGTCCTCCACTACAATCAAAACCTCAATCCAACCCTTCCTTCCTCCGCATCCTCCGCTGCTTCCTCACCCGCGCATCAACCACCTATTCCCCCTCACTCTCGGACCTGCGCTCCGTCCTCTCTGAGATTTTCGCAGCCTACACTTTCGAAGAAACAATCCTCAGCCTCGCCAACCGTTTCCTCGATAAAGAAAGCTTCACCCACGTCCATCAAATCACCGAGCTACGCAAGCGCGGATGGCGGCCCCGCGGCCAAGTCTGCGAGGCGTGCAAGAAACGTGCTTGGGGTCCTGGCGCGGGACCAGGTGTTTGGGATGCCTGGGAGAAGCGCGAGGAGATGAGGTTGAAGAGTAGGGAGGAGGCGGCTGTAGGGTGGCAAGGGGATGGGGGGATGGGGAAGAGGATGGGGAAGAGGCCTAGTCGGGTTAATGTTATGGATGGGGCGGAGGGGGGAGACGAGGGAGACGACAAGGCGGTTGTGTTGTTTGCTTGTAGGCATCTGTGGCATAGAGAGTGTCTTGTCAAGGATAGTGGGGGGAAAGGCGGGTTGGGTGAGGAGATTGCGAGGAGTATGGGGAGGGGATTGAAGTGTGGGATTTGTGGGTGATTTGTGGGATGGTGTGATTTGGAAGTGGGTGGGTATGGAGAGGATGGGTAGGCATGAATAATCGTTTTTTTCTTTTATGTGTTTGGTAGAAGGAATGGGGATGTGTGAATACTGTTTTCTTTTCTTTTCTGATAAGGCTTGTGAAGTATGGCTGGTTGAGATACGGAGTGGGTAGAGGTAGAGATTGATTGAACTAATGCTACTTTTGAACCGATATAGGGACGAGGTATCCTTCATCTTGCTTATATGGTATTGTGGGTGCAGCTTCGTAGTATGAGCAGTCTAATTAGGGTTTTCTATGAGAAATGCGATTCGATTGGTCTCTAGAGATTGGAGTTATTTTTTGGAAGCTGATGTAGTAAAGGGCTAAAATACAGAAATCTTAATTTGACTAATTTTCTGGTCATATGATGAGGATGGATGGATTTCTTGATTTGGGTGAGGTGTAGAATAGGCATGGCCGTAGGTAGCTGGAGTGGCCAGGGGTCCTAGTCGTTACATTAACACATATAGCTGAATATGTAACCTTCTTCAGCATCGTTTGCGGGTTGTCGGTACGACATCATTTATCGCGCGCAATAACCGTAGAGATGTATCTCGGTAGATTCGGAAACTGTTAACTCAACCAAAGCAGCCCTTCGAGTTTAGTAAGCATTGGGCTTAAAAAAAGCAGTCGTTAAAATTATGCATGCCTAGTTTTTGATTGACTATATTGCTCTTAGGTCTATTTTTTTTTCAACCATTCAATTCTACGTTGGTTATAAAACACGAACACACGCGAATATGTCTTATCCAATTGTTGTTTCTGGTCAATTAATCAAACTCCGCTCGCATCGAGATGGATTGCTTGGAAGATACATCCCGAACAATCCTATTGGTTCTCCACGATCTCGCACAATATCACCATCATCATATGATGCTTTTCAGCCCAAAGGGCCGAGTTATTTATCTTCCCATGTTACTTTTTGATCTCGATGTCTCTCAGACAAATGTCGATGAATCTTGTTGCCAAATGTTACGCTTACCGAGTTTGGTGCGTAACATGGTGTACGATCCGACAGTACCGGCTCTGCATGTGCATGGGCATTTGATCCTTGCACAGTGAGATTTTAGCGTATTACACTGCGGAATTCATTGCACCAAAAACGAGATCTGCTAGCCTTGTTCAGCAAAGGGCAGCTAGAGAAGCTCTAAAATACCTCAATTGTACTATAAGATATATGCTTGGGACCCTGAAACTCGCTAACTCGACGGTGAGGTGACCCTAAGGTGACCCTAGTGATGACACTAACTCCAAGTTATTGTTGCTGCCATTTGCCATGGATTATTGGTTAATCTGAGTATATGCTATGCTTATCAGGGTAGAGGCTCATCGTGCAGTAGATTTTCCCTATGCGACTACATTGAACTGCATCCTGAGTCCAACCACGTGGAGACTCCAGCGTTGCCGGGTTTGGCCGAATTGTCTTGCGTCTAGGGCGTGATGACAGGCCCACTAGGTCCGTGAGTATTGATAATGTTCACTGCAAGGGCTGGACCTGCACTGACTGGTCATCGATATGGATGGAAATCCTGATTGAACGCCGGATTGGTTTGCTGGCACGTCGATCGCCCGGAGCATTGGATTAATCCGTTGCCGTGACATTTGAGGTGGCCATTTTATGGTATGTCTGGATTCCTCCATACCAAATCATATCATGACGTCAGTCACGCGTTTGAGGGTTGGAGACGCTAAAATATGACAGCAGGCACCTGAATCCCTCGCTTCCACAGTAAGTAGTACGGGGAAGACGGGCTTAGCTGTTGCCAATACCCAAGGGGGCTTCACCAAGGACTGAATACGGGTTGCATTACGACACCAAATTCTGATAGCAAAGATAGCCACTTGGTAAACGCTCAGACGAAATCTAAGTCTACTAACACATCGATGCAGTACACAGCCCACAGCTCGACATGGTACTGATATGACAACGAAGTATCCTGGGTTGTGGAATTCGCCAATCTCTGAAAAACGGTTTGGGTCTCGATCGCCGGGTTATCTTTACCACGAGATAGGCCAAGATTGAATCTCAGTCGGGCCACGGAACGTGGTGGTCCCCGTAGATGGGCCGGCCAATGCCGCTCAAAGCGCTGGTTCAATCGGCGTGCGGCAATGCTTATTATCATTGGAACCCAGGCACCGTGCCGTGTTACGGCCCGCAGAAGCAGTGCCATACTACTTGTTCCTCGAGATAGCCGGCCAGTGCCGTGCTTTGGAACGGTACCGAACAACGTACGATACTTACAGGCTTCGTGAACTTACGCATGGTGCAATGCCTATGGATGTCCATGGGTAGCTCGTGGATCCTTTTCGTATTTGCGGTACTCAGGATGAGACAAGGATATAATGAGACGCGCCAATAAGCCTGCTGCTGGAAGAAAGCCTAGAAGGTTCGCTGCTCAAGTCACATTGAGCCTGACCTTACTATATGTCAGCCCGTATGTACATCGGGTCACGATGTTTAAAGCCCCCTCAAAGGACGCGTAATTCTACTGCGTCTCCACTCAATACCCAGGTGCTATCTACCTCATCGATCAGGAATGACAACATGTCCGCACGAACTCTTACCAGGGTATCATTTTGCTACAACCTATACTGAACTGAGTAGCTGGTCAAGAAAATCTCATCACCAATACGCCTTTAATAAGCAGAAGAAGTTTGAAGCGGTAGAGAACGCGGCTACTTACTAGAAACGGAGCACATGACCGCTGCTGGGGTCAAGTTTTCCTTTTCGAAATTAATGCTGGATCTGAGTTGGTGATTGTTTAAGACGACTTTATGATGCGAGAATAGGTTTCAAATTGCTAGTGTCTTGTGTAAAGCCTGGTCACACGTTCGAAGTTGACAAATGTTCATTCGAAACAATCTAGCAAAGCCAGACCCCGACCTAACATTTCCATTGATCCGGGATGGCCACTACCGAGTAACTCCCCGAGCAGTATTCCTATTATGGTTTAGCATTACTTTTTAATCGGGAAACTCACCCCTGTCACCCTGTACCAAGACTTACTCCTTGTGCGGAAGTAGCTCGGGACGGGATTCTATGCAGCCGCTAACCAGACATTAAGGTTACAAGTGTTTTCCGCACCGTTTGCGCGGGCTAAAAGTGGGTCTGAAGGAGCTAGTGTGCGTGGCACGAATCCATGTCTTTGATAGCGCCCCTACTATAGTACTATAGAACTAGTAGCATTTGTCGGCAAGTTAGGGATCAAGGGAGGCGGACTAACTACAAAGGTCACATACGTTGGAAGAAAGGGATTACTAGCCATGCGGTGTTACTATGTATGTATTTGGTCACGATTGCTAGGCCGCATGTATTATAGAGCAGCGACGATGGACAACGGTAACTACTTACAGCAAGAAGCTAGCAGTAGAATCAACTCCCTATAACAACAGGCCGTATTTGCATTGCTTAAGCTGAGATGGGCTAGGGCTCCGTGAGAGAGTCCGTCGGCGGTACATCAACTGAGGGTCTGACTTCGGTAGCGTTCAGATTTGATCGAATAGCAGTTTCAGAACAGTAAGTTGAATCAACGGTGTTCGGCCTGAATCCCTAATCGCGGAAGATACCCCGTTCCGTCGCGCTCAAATTTCTCCTTTCTTTCTCATTGACAAATTCAAAATCGCATCTCGCAATTGAGAAAAAAATGATGGTGAAAGCAAGTAGGCCACACTGAGCGTTAGTAATTATGAGGATGGAAGAAGGGAATGTTGATCACTACTGAGGTATAATCATGAAGTAGTAGCTCTAGCAGTGTCGCAGTCCATTAAGCATAGTCTCGTACATTCTCAGGCCAGTCTTAGTTGGATTAGAAGCTCCGGTCCAAGAGATACATTGCCTGGGCAGAAAAATACCTACATATATAAAACACAACCCCACAGGTACATTTACGGTATAGACCCAATGCGCTGAGAGAGAAGCGGTGATATAATAATACGGGCGGCTTTACTTCGAAAAATTCGGTCTCGTATTGTATCACATCATTGCTTACGTTTGTGTTGATCGTAAGATTATCAGTCACTGGAACGATCTGCATTCAGCTGGAAAACTATTCTTGTCCAGTTAACGTTGATGGGACCAATACTGTTGCTGCTGCGATGTTCATTCCAAAGGTCTCACCAACTTGTAGTGAAAGATGCCAGAGCTAAGACAACATTGTTACAGAGTTTTTTGTTTTTCAATAGGCCGAGTTGTATTCATGTATAGAGACAAAATCTATTTATAGTGATGGAGGGCACCTGCCTGTTCTTATTGTCCCCATGCGCAAAAATCTCTGTTTAATAACACTCTGAGCTTGGCCAGGAGCTAATGAGCGCGAACCCTATATCAGGGGTAAATGCGCAGCTCCGTAACCAGGAGCCTCGCTGGGCCAGTCTATACGCCGGAATGCTTAGTCTCTTCTACCCTGGAGTTCGGACGAAGTTGGGACTAGAATCATCATGTCTGAACCTCGCATAAGTAAGGCCTCGACCCAAGTCTTTCAATCAAGACCGACCGATATTACTTAGAGGCAATCGCCATATCACAACTCTCGCTACCTCTTGACCATTCTGTACTCTCGTTTTACGTTGGACCTACAAACAAACAGCTCGTCACGACCTTCAATTGCTCAATGATGATGGAAGTTGAAGGAAACCCTTCTTACAAAGCTTTCGTCATATCTCCTCCGCAGGAAAATCAAGACACCCCGCAATTCTTCTCAGACTTGTTGATAGAGGCTCTTTATCTCTATGTTCCTGTGCCCTTTCACACAACACATACGCTGATAATATGTGTATCAATTATTCCCTTCAGCATTCCAAGCCATCGCGGCCAGGTTTTCTATCATGCAGAAGCCTCATATGCGCAGTGTTGTGAAGGTCTGGACAGAAATTCGTTTATGCCTACAATTATTAGCACAGCACAGAAAACTTACGGCATGTACATGCCGTATCATCCGTGGAATTTTGAAATGGCTGGTGTATGGTTAGTTATTCTGGTCCCTATGAGAATGTTCTAGCCCAATACTAATCGCGCTTCTCAGGCGGCAGGTACAGGTTTCCTCGGGGATTGGGCATGGTGGCTTAACCTGCGCACAGAGATCGACATTAATCCTCGATCAGATGCTAGGGTCTCCAGCATCTTCGTCAGATGGAGAGGAGATCTACAGCCAGGGCTATGACTCAAGCTTCGATTCTGAGCAACATTTCTTCGTGGACGAATTCGTAGGATCTGTGCTAGGAACACCTCCAGCCGAATCACTGGTTGATTGTTCCATGCAAGATGCAGAAAGCCACAGTGTCATGCAAATAAAGCCCCTAAATAACCACGAATGTCCAATAACGAAAGTTGCGGATGAGTTCCTGAACAGCTTTTGCAACACAGAATCATATATCTTGGCGACCGAGTTTAGTAACCGCCTTTTGAGTTCAACATTACCAGAGGGCACGTACTCTGAGCCTGCTATGCAGGCCTTCAGATGTTGCGAATTAATGGCTGGTCAGGCAAAGGAGCAACTGAAGAACGCGACCTTCACTCGGTTCTTCTCTCTTTGCTTTTTTCTCCTTTGGGAGGGACTCGCATGCGAACCGGGGAAAGCAGGTGCTCGCGTAGTATGTATCTTGAGAAAAAAATGGCGTGTAAATGAATTTCCTGCTAACAGTTATCAAGATCAATGCACGAATGAGGGAAGCGGGCTTTGAGGGAACTTCGCGTAGTCTGAAGACTCTCCGAGATGAGACAATCTTCATAAACCGCCTTGTGGCTTCTATTGAAATGTCACATGGGATAGGCGTTGCATCGCTGGTCTTCTATCACATTTTCAGTGAGAGCATTCGGCTAAAATACTTCCTAAGCTGCTGACTGAACATGCGTAGGGGCCTCAAATTACCGGCTTATCCGCCTCATGAATCGCTATGGTGACGCTAAGAAGCTGCTCGCCATACGAAGAATCTGCGAAAACCTACAAGTTTCTAGACTTGTTGCCAACCCTCTACCCATTCTGCGGATACATGATCTGATAGGAGAACACATGCCAGACCTTCCGTATGTTCCCTGGAGTCTAGATCGATGCATTCCATTGACAGTTGGCAGCAACAAAGTAATCAACGCCGCGATAGGATACTTGGATGTACACACCTCATTAGCCGTTGAGCAAGACCTGGATTTTCCTGGATTCGATCCTCAATTAGGTTTCTTGCAGTTATGATGAGCATCTTGTCTATACAAGCCTACCTAAACCCACACTACTTCGTGATAACGTCGAAATGTGGTCATGATAACTTGTGAAGCTAACAAAACGATGAGAAGTTAGCTAGCCGTTTGCCACTCGGGTACTCCCTTGTAGACTATCATTGAATTACCATGATGCTTACGAACAAGGATGCGAGTAGAAGCGATCATTGCCAATCAGTATGGAACACTGCCTAAGCACGAACTGCTTACTTCTGTTGGTTTTCTGCCGAAGTAATCCCATCTCAATAGTTGCGCTAAGACGGGGATGAATTATGCTCTGACTTTATTTGCAGTACTCAATGCTTACTGTAGCTTATAAACCCACGTGTATAGTACTCTAAGCTAGTTTCTAGAACACCGCAATAGATTACATCCTACGCAGAATACTACATATGCGCTAGCATTCACGTAGACTAGTAAGATATGTCTGTCAAAATTTCTTGGTGATGGTCACACAGTTGTGAGGGTTGTTTTCTTCTCTCACATAATGCTGCTGAACACTATAACCATTACCTTCCGGTTTCTCGCAATGAAATCTAGCCTGCTCTTCTTGATTGTGGTGTGTGGCAACTAGCATCTCTATAGCCGAAAGCCTGTGCGTTTTCATGTTTTATACGACCCATGGCTGGGCCACTTCACTTACGATTATCACATGAGATGGCATCCAGATATATCTAGATTAAGTTGAATAAAAGAGGAGTACACACGTGGTTGATGGTCTGTCCCATGACCGTGCGATACGATGATCCCCTCGTAAACGAGCAGAATTGCTAAATTTAGGTATAAAAGGAACGTGCTTTGTTTGAATCTAGCCGTATCATTGAGAATTTGGCCTCAGTATGCTACTATCATGGAATAGAGCACTTTCTCTTGCATCCAAATCTTTCGTTTTACCGAATACGACAGCGTCTCTAGCTCAACTTTGAAGATGGAGTCTAAAACTGATGAGTAAACCGAAACCGGCATCGTACGAGTACGCCTAGGAAGAAACAATGTATTCAGCAGTCACGCGCAAGACTATGGCCGTTGTGCAGGCAGTCTCGGTTGCTCTGAAACTCGTTTTGTCCATGCATACGAATGCACACTGTTCTTTGACCATAGAGCGCCTTTTAATACGAGATGATTTACATAGGCTTCTTATGAAATGTCTTAACGCTGACCGCAAACAACCGACCCGCAGGACTTCATTTCGCTTTTAAATAGTAGGGTGCCACCTGGTAGACATAAAAAGCGGTACTCTAGGTTAGGGTTGTGCTTTGTGTGGTCAACGGCACCACCTACCCGCGTCTTTCTGTTCTTTTTGTTTTTTTGGTTTATTTTAGCCCACAGAGAAGACAATACGCGTAAATTATAGAATACGTCTTAATATTATGACTGTAGTGCAAAGCTGGAAAATTATTAACATTCTAGCGTGTTAATGAATATGGGTAGGTAGTGGCCTGTGTAGAGTATTACTTTTTTTGACCATCGATTAAGTATCGTTTCTTTTCTGTGTAGAGGCTAGTAGGGTGTGCTCGGTGGTATGTTGTAGTATAAGCGCCAGTTAGGGCGACTTTTCTCTAGGTGAAGAACGTACAGATACATTCTTACCGAATGCTATCATCAAAGAAGAGGGTCTCAATTCTAGTGAAACTGTTCGATGATCATGCACCCACTTTGAGATTGATATCCGCTGCAAAGGGCGCACTTCGAGAAAAATAATTTCCTTCGAATTAGAGCCAAAAATGGTTTGCTGGAGCATATGCTTTCACTTTCAAACCCTTCTTATTTTCAGCCGACGAACTTCATCTCTCGTCAAATACAAAGTGCTCTTCTTATAAAAGTCTTAGTCTGACTGTTATCCGCACTCTTATCGATTCGCCTGACACCTTGATGCGTGTTTTCGGGTTACATAAATCATAATATTGTAATATACCTGGGCTAATATTATGCTTGGCCGATCATATCCAGGACATGACAGATCGCTACAGGCATGAATTAAAGAGACCCCCACAACCACATCCCTCAAAAGCTCCTCACCCATCTCATGAAAAGCTTCAAACAGCTCATCTTCCTATCCCCCTTTAGTTCCTGCAGCAGCACCTGCTAAATCCCAAGTAGCACGACTCCATAACCAAGAAACCACCGCGGTTCTGGCAGTACCACTCGCACTTCTTAGCCCAATCAAGACGGCATCCAGAGCGGGCTCCAGGGCAAGCCTAGTCACAGTTAGCCTCTTGCATTTCAAAGACATTCCAGCATATAAGAATCCCAAAGGTGCCAAAGCCACAACAATAAAGACACGAGATGAATAAGGAAGGAGGAAATGGGGGACTTACACGAGGAACAAGTCCAGCAGCTTCCGCCTCAGCCTCTCGTGCCTCAAGCGCAGACATAGTCGGTGTGCCAGCTACAACGGTAGCGAGAGTGGCAATAGCGGTGATGAGAGTGAACTTCATATTTGCTGTTTTCTTTTCGTAGAAAAAGGACGAGTCTGAATTGAGTCTTGTAGGAGTGATAGTGGTGAAGAAGAGAACAGAAGAGATGCTTGATCGATACTGTGATGCTTCTACTTCCCAGTGGACTTCACTGCTGGCTTTTATACACATCTTGTCCTCATATCAATTTATTTTCTTTGCCTTGTTTTCAATTATTCCGCCCCCAAGAGGGCCATCATGCGGTCCATGGCTGTGCGGTGAATGCGATGGATGCGAGAAGGGCTACTTCGCGTCTGGGCAACATGTGTATGCAAGCCTCGTGTGGAGCTGACAGGCGCTTTCATTACGGCACACTCTGCAAAGACATGATGATTGACGTACATGTTGGGTATAGTGGTTGGACAGAGCAAGGGCACTGGCATCTCGGTACCTAGATGCGAAGATATCTTGCAAGGATGAAGCTTGGTGCGTTGTTACAACTTATCTCGCTTGCAAGTGCCGATGACGGTACATCGTCCACACTGCTTACACAAAAAGGTAAATTAAAATGGTCATTGTACACAGCATAGACACTTCTTAGTTTGTTACAGCTCCAGCACCGTTTACTTCCACAAGTACCTTATCCGTGTTCGCACTTGATTGTATCTACCGAAATACCCCGTGGCGCAAGCGATTGGCCAGCATGCGATCCTATAAAAAAGGTACCTGCATTCGCATCGTTATCATCTAACCGAAAGGAAGAGAAAAAAACTCCCTAAACCGCGCCCCCACCCCCCTTGCGTGCGGCTGAGGGAAAACGGCAAACCGGTATGTAGTTACCGTGACGCATGCACATAAAAATGGCCGACGAACAAGCACGCCCCGCCCCCGCTCTCTCTTTCCCCTCTGTCCCCACAACATAGCTGTCAAGCCGTAAATCTTGGGGGGGCGGAAAATAAAGAAAGGGAGTTATTAGTGGTTGTCGCAACTTGGCCAGTGCTTAGGCCCTCTGCGATTCGTAGATGCGAGATACGATGGCGGGAAGACGAGTGACATTCTGTTTGTCGTTGGGGGCCTAAAGTGTGCCTTGCTGCGGAAAAGGGTCCTGTGGTCGTTAGTGGCTGTTTTCTGTCACCATGAAAAAAAATGACACGATGTATTTTGTTTGATGAAATTTGGGGAGTTGTGGAGATGGCGTGGTGGAGCGAAGTGGGTGGAGGAGTTTAAGCGCGTGGCGCTTGGAGATGGAGGGGATGGCGTCTGCCAGAGGTGATGATACGACGATGCGGAGGTGAGGCTGAACGATTCTTGTTCTGTATTTAGGACCTGAATGAGTTGTTCTTTGTGGTTATTTTGGGTCGCGGGGTATGTATCAGCCTTTGGTTATTGTGGTTTGAACGAAGACGGTCACTCGCATTAGTTGTAACCCAATTAGTGTTGATTTGTAGGGCAATCCTGAGCACCTATTACCCAAGATCTATTCTCAGAACTTATTTTAGCAGTAACAAGAGAAGGAACAGTATCCCCAGTTGCGATCTGCTAAATTCCATTTGATATAGTCGATCGCAGCCGAGGATCTTCTCACCTATTCCTACACTAGTGGAGCGGCTATCACAGGAAACACAGTAATTTAGAAAACACTCCCCACGAATCGGCGAATCTTGGACGTACTGCAACACCGTAAGCCCTAAGCTTCACCTGTCCACATGTCACATGGAAGGCCTTTAGACATGACGTTAAGCTTGAATGAACAAACAAACAACCCTATTCCTGCACCGCTAAGGTCAGAATGCACCTGCGAGGCGTTTATCATAACTAGCTAGTGATATAACCGCTTCATCTGCTCCAAAACTCATCAAGATTGATCTGAAACCCAATCACTCATTCACCCCACAAAATTCCAAGAAAAAAATCTTTATTGGAACAACTACCATGTAAGCTATAATCTCCCTCCCATTGCCACAAACTCAACCTACTTCCTAAAAAGAAACCTCCCCATATCTTTCTCTCTCCATCTCCTTTCCACCATCCCATCACATAACCCCCTAATACTTCTCTCTCCTAGAGCGGATTCGAAGCAATAACAACAAAGCATCCCTAATTAGTCCCCCATGTTAGTTAAGTTTCTTTTTTCTGACCTACTAAGCTATTTAAAAAAGAAACGAAAGGCCTATATATATAGAAAGAGAGAGAGAGAGAGAGAAAGAGAGGTATCAAAAACTTACACCTCTAGTATCACAATTCCCAGAAGTTACTGCACCGAGGTTACACTGGCATGGTTGCGAGTTTCCAACGCATGGCCCGCCAAAGCTGATGTCGGAGCCCCTGCAAGTGAAGGAGATTTGGGCTGTTACTGCTGAGAGCAGGAGCATGCTGGTGGCGAGGAGGGAGGGGAGCTGGAACTGCATTTTTTTCCGTTGGTTTGTTGCTGTTGATGATGATGATAGGGGATTGAGGTAAGGTGTGTGTGTTAGTGCTCAAGTGGTAAAACTGTTGAGTGATATTGGGTGAGGTATATAGTAAGTAGTAGTATTTATATAGTCATAGTTATGTACTTCTTATCATATAATTCTTTCCTAAGCCATATACATTGCGCGTATAGCTACTATCTACCAGAACAAAAGTTACGATTAAGCCAGCTCTCGGGAGCTGATGCTGTGGTGGAGCAAGCAGGGAGTATAGTAGAAAGGCCCGAAAGGTACCTCAGACGAGGATAACGTGGTATATATGGTGTGAAGTGTATCTGCGGAATGCTAGTTTTCTGGTCCATATAAGCTGGTCGTGGCTCGCTGTTACAGGTGATCTGTTGGTGATTCCGCGGGTTCGCCACGTGACCATTCACCATCCAAATGCAGAGAGGACTCCTGGTATCTCCAACACAACTACGCGACCAATTAATCGTAGCGATTATCGGAATTAATTCATATTCGCATTTTTCTCCATGTAAGAAAAACCCAAACTCCTCTGGGGATTTCATGGTAAATATGGTAGCTAAAATTGCAACGATTCTTCAATCACTATTAAGGAATACATAAACACCGTATTGGATATCATTCACACCCGAAAAAAAGAAAAGCGCCAAAAACACGTAATCAAGCAAATCTACCGTACCAGTCCTTTCCATGTTGCGCATCTGGTCCCTCACACGTCACGGTCCTCGACTTCTCTGCCTTCATAGAAGACCCCATGCACCTGGCATTTAGAATCTCCACCTTGAAATCGACTTGGACGTCTACGATGATGCGTTTCCAAGGATTCGCTTCGTCTTGATTGGTTACTCGTTTCTCCTGATCATCGCAGCTTGCTTCTTCGCATTCCAAGTCGTCAGGGGTTTGCAGGGCGTGCATGTGGCTTTGACGCTTGTTCATACTAGTAGATGTCTTCTCGTCTTGCTGAGCTTCGGTGCATCGCACGTTTGACTCGATAGCGTCATGCACAGATAGCATGTTTCCGCGGAGTAGACACCAAAAGTCAAGCGCGTTAGTGATGCATACTGCGAAACACGCCTCGCGTGTGTACCAAACTATACGGGTTGTGGAGTCTGCGTCGGTAAAGTCGTGAAATTTTGCTAGAAGGGCTAGAATGACCTGGCGCACAAGCGTTAGTACTAGGGAAAGGGCTAGAATATAATGGCGTGTGTGACGTACGATAAAACTGCCCATGCCGAGTAACATCACTAGCTTGATCTTTTGTTTAACCGGTAGCGAGAGCGACGTGATCAGCGAGATCGAGATCGCGACCATGAATGCATCGCTGCTGAAGTTGAATATTGCATGTGCAATAGCAAACTCCTTGACGGTGCTGCAAACCGTAAAGAAGGCTACTTCAACCGCCAGCCAGCCGATGACGATGTATACTGCTGCACCCTTGATCCATTTCGCGGCGGTCGTTTCTTTGAGCATGCGAGCGAATGTCAATAGCATACATAGTTTTAATACGGACATCACGTTGTGCATACACTGCTGGATGTTAGCTTCATGTGTCGATCTATCTTTCAACGTGTTACCTGCTACCAACATACCTGCTCAGCGACAGCAATGGCTGTTGATTCTTTGATCCAATTATTGAAGCCATCTTTTTTGAATGCTTCCACAATTTCTGGTGAGAACATGTTGCTTCCGTCTTTGGCAGTTGTTGGAGTTGAGACCACTGCCAGCCCAGTGTAAAGTATCGGCACAGCCGTCATCATGATCCAGTCATCTACCGCGAACAGATCAAGGTTATGAACATGACGCCGCCGGGAGAAGCTGGGATGATCTATTAGCCTCATGTACACACGATAAATTCTCGTTACTGACATTCGCAGCGTGATGGCAACAATGCCGATGCTGTACAGAATCCATGCCTGAAATACTAGTAGTCCCTGTGGGAGGCTCGATAAGTTGAAAACTTGCATTGCCAGTTCTTTCCTGGTCGTCATTTTTGGAGATGTTTCGCTGCTAGAGGTGTGTTCACAATATACTGTGGACCCGGTCAAGTAACCAAGCTCTCAAGTCGTGTTATCTACTTCATGAAAATGGCCGTGAATTAGACGCGAACTAGATACGTATGTCCTCGAACCGAAAGAAACAACGGGATATAAGTATCGTGCTGCTGACTCGACTAATAAGGTTTGAGATGGGTTCGTCTTTTGGTTCGTCAGATCAAACTCGAGATCGCATCCTCTACTCGTCCGACGCTGCTTACCGAAACGCCTCGGCCCGTCAAGGGGTCCCCGCAAATCCAGTCGAATTAGGCAACGAGTAGTACTGGTCGGGATTCCCAACCGAGGATCGACACAGCAGTCAATGTGTCGGCTAGGGAGTTCCAGATCCATACACCGGGAAATTTCTCAAGAGCCCAACACGATGAATATTCTTATTGGTGAAGAAAGGCCGTGTGGACGTGAACGAAGCTTGGGCCTTTGTGGATCGCGGGATGGACGGCGACGGCGGCGGGAGCGGGATGTGGGTTCCGTCCAGCTGTGTGACGATCACATCTTAGTAGAGCAATGAATAACATACTTTATTGCAATGAATGAGGCGCTTCTCATGCTCGTATCCGACGCACTGGTCCGAAATTGAGAGTGCAAGTCTCGACACAGGAACGTGGGTACCGGCGATAAGACTAGAAAAAGCAGTTATGGCCAAATGAAGCTAGCTGGTGTGTTTTCGGATGTCAAGTCATTCGATAAGAGAAAATGATGTCCAACACCCCGTACCCTCGTATCCCCCCAACGCCCCGTGAGGTCTAAGACCGTTCGGTAGACGCGAGGAAAGTCTATTCGAGTAACGTTAACGCCACAACATTGAGTAATCAAAACGTCCCAACATGTGGTGACAGGATAGTTGAAATTATATTTTTTGTTACAAAGAATATATCTCGGGTAAAAATATACAAGTACCCTCGAGAAAATAAAAGAGATGTGAATCTAAACATGCTGATACCTTCAGCAGGGAAACCAGACAACACCATATGAGATCTACGCCCAGGACTAAGAAAAAAAGCCACAAAGTTGGCAAGGGAGTCAACACATGAAACCTTGCACGACGAATACAGAAACCGAGATTCCACAAAGAGACCGACAGGCATACGCCAAGTAGGCGCCAATGATCACCTCATGCGGAAGGGAGCGGGACAAGGATCAGGCACCAAACGATATGCTACTGAGCCCAACTACCCCTTCTAATGGCAGCAGTGCCATGACAAGAGCTGGTAAGATCTTCGTCAGCCATGTTGGGATGCTGTCTCGCCCACTCCTTGATATAAATGCGCAGCGCGCGCCAACGCATGCACGTTTCTTCAGTAATCTCAGAGTCCTTCAAGTTGCCGTCCTTCCCAAGGCGAATGTAACCGCGAGATTTGGCGAGATGGTCATCTTGCCGTAACTCGGAGATAGGAATGTGTGAAATTTTGGAGAGCTCTGCGTCGAATGGACGCGCCATGGATGGATAGCCCAGCGATAGATAATTGTAAACTTGGGTAACAAAATCGTCGCCAAACTCCTCTTCGATTGACTGCTCGACAGCAAGCTTCTCATCAATGCCAGCAAAATCCGATGGCGCGAATGTTGCGCCTGAGCTAGACGCTGGAGGAGTAGGCGGCAACAGACTCGCAGACGGTGTTGGGTAAGGTGAGATGGGATTTGGTATCTCTGTGTTGGGCGTCAAAAGACCAGTTGGCCCGCGTGGGGACTTGTCTCCGCCATTGACGCAGAACCCGCCCCACAAGCCATGAGTACTCGAAGCGCGGCTGTTGGCAGTAGACCACAAGGATGGTGTTGTGCTTGTTTGTCTTCCATTGCCTTTGCCGCACCACAGGCTTTCGCCTTTTTCAGAAGCAGCTTTGGACTGCTCGGAGAGATAGCACATGGCTGTCCTGACCGCATCACATCCTTGGGTAGGATCGAAACGGGATGGCTCAGGGGATTCGCAGCGTGGAAACTTGATATCTTGACCGAGCATAGGGGGACGGGCTTCTCTTCGCTGGCGCTCCAATTCGGGGTCTTTGCGTTCCTTTGCAAACTTGCTAGCCGTGGCAGCGTCGAGAAAGCCTGCGGGATTGCCAAAGGGGCTGAAAGCAGGCTTTACGTATTCAGTGGGCTTCGGCTTCTCTTTCTCGGCAATCTGCTCTGCTTGGTATTTCCGCATGGCTTCCAATTCCCAGTTCACGACAGTATATGGGGGCTCTGCCTCTGGCTCTGTTTGGGGCTTTGCCTCTGTGACAGATGGCTCCGAACCCTCTGTGTCACGATCCACGTAGTGAGCCACAGGCTCGTGAATATCACTGTTAGGGAATGCTGCCAACGCTTGTTCTCGAAGTTGCTTCTCAGCAGCCTTGGCAGCCAGCTCAAGCAAGTATCCAGCAGAGGTGCCGTCGGCACTCTCCCGCCGTCGGGTAGCCTCCTTGTACATGAAGGAGTGGTCAGGCCTGTAGGGAGGTGACTCGGTGGGTGAAGGCGGGGTTGATGCTTCGGACTCGGAAGATTCAATGGGGTCCAAGTCTGGCACGCGGAATGAATGTTGTGAAGAGCTAAAGTACGATCGGCGTCTACTTAGTGGCGAAGCGTTGCGTTGAATCTCCAGAAACAAGGGGTTTTGTGACATGTCATATGTTGGAGTGTTCACTGGTGGAGTAGGTGGGATTCCTAGTATTCTTGCTTTTCGGGCACTGATGGCTGACTCTGGAGTGGCCTCTGTCTTTTCGTAATCAAACAACACAGGCTCGTCGTCACCTGCTTTGCGGTGTCTCTGAGCAGTCTCGATCAGCTGGGGCCTGAATCTCTTAACAGGTAGCTTTCTCGGTACTGTGCCCAGGGGATTGACTTTGAACTTGTCAGTGGGCGATGTTTGCTCTTCCCAATCACGGGCAAATTTTTGACGACTGCTTCTTGTGGTCGTTTCCAAAGGCTGAGGGACAAAGCGGCGATTCGATCTGGTCGTAGTTTCCATAGGCTGGGGTGCAAATCTTCGCGGCACCTTGGAACTTGTGGCAGTTGTCTCAATGGGCTCGGATATAAATCTCCGGTTTGCTTTGGAGCTTGTGGTTGTAGTCTCAAATGGCTCAGGTGCGAACCTACGTCTGGCTTTGGAACTTGAAGTAGTGGTCTCAATGGGCTGAGGCGCGAACCTTCGCGGCTTAGGCGCCTCGACAGGCTCCTGCCTGGCTTTGTCCTTTGAAGACGAAACCGTCGTCTCAATGGGCTCGGGCTTGAAGCGCCTTGGAGGTGCTGCGGAGTCCATCTTTATTAGCGTCGTGTACCCCCGACAAGTGGCCCTTTACGATTTGGTCTTGTGCAAATCGTTTATGTCACTGTTGGTGAGCTGCCAATCGCAGGTGTGCCTCTGGTGCGGATGCGCACGCGAGCGGGGAAGTCGATCGGGGAGGTGGATCGGGACAATCCGGGGCATGCAGAGGTAGCAATTCCCAGGTGGTTATGGTGTTGACGGGTGCAACAGGATGTAGTGTGCCTCTTGGGAACCGAGGTATATGCAGTCTATAGTATTCTGCTCGGGGGGTGGGTGGGCAGAGTTCAAGAGTAGGCGTGTAGGCTTTGGGCAGCGGTCAGTCTCGTGGGCATGGAGGTTGTGGGTAATGCATATGCACTCGACTCACCAGACCGCGTATCTCTTTTCCCACACGGCCAGGGGCTTGTCGAAGGGCGGAAAGCGTGTGGACGGGGCTCTGGCGGGCAACATGTGAAATATCACAGTGTCGAGCGGGCGGTGGACGGGGTGCAGGATGACGTATGGGCGACTGGGTCGCAGGTCGCGGTGACAGTCTAGGGGCGACCGCGCGGGGATTCGCGAATTTGGGGGAGACAAGAGGGAGGGATGGAGGGGTGGGGACGGTGTGGAGGGATATATGAGGCAGCGCAGTGTAGCGGTACGACGGCAGTGCTAGGGCCGTCGACGGTCAACGAGGCGCATCGAGTTGACAAGATGGTGATTCTTGTTGGGTCCAGAAGAGCGCTTCGATCAAGTCTCGACCGTTGCGCCTCCCCCTTCATGCCCGATAACTCGAAATTGTTCCATCAATGCACCGCGCCCACAGTGCCGCCGCTGATGCATCTGCACTCATGTCCAAAAAAGCAATGCTCACCACCTGTCACTGAGTCTCTGACGCTGCCCGGCAGCAAGCCACACAGCGTGCAGCTCGTCGGCGCAGCAGAGCCGTCGAGTCAGCTCAGCAGCCAGCTCCCACACATATCCCACACGTCCAATTCGTCTAGCACTCCACGGCGCGACGACGGACAGCAGCCGGGTGGGTCGCTGGACGGGCTAGGCATTTCCATTTCCATGTCGAGGCCGCTGCCATGGATCGGGATGGCGTCGCTGACTGGGGGATCGACAAATGACATTTGGGTGCCATGCCCTCACCTCTTCAAGTACGACGGCCGGGCCTGGCATGCGAGTATTACTAGATACCACACTACTCTGCACGGGATATACCATGTACACACCCGTGAGCCTCTGGCACACGCGACCGTCGGCATGTGCAGCCAACATGACCGCCAGGCCATCGTCACGATGCATCGACTCGAGCAACGTGCTCTTGAGGCGCAACTTGTTCGCTTTGGGATCGGAAGAGGTCTCACCACGCAATACCGCACGGGTCCACGTTCCGTCGACAATCCACGCTGTCAGCCGCAAAAAATGCCTCTAGACGGATCCGCGGCCGCCCAAGGGGTAAATGCATGTTTCGCCGTTGTCTATTTGCAGGCCATCTGCTAGGCCAAGCCACGGTTGCACCATGCCAACAACGTTAGGCGACCGTCCGCCCACTGGGGGTGCTACGGGTGATGTCGGAGCAGCCCAGCAACCAATTTGCACCTACACGGCCATCACTCGTCGCTCTGCCTGCCGCCGGATGGGACATCTACAACCGGACATTTCTCTCATTGTGCCTCGCCCACCGGTGGCATGTGCGCCTTTTCTTCTTATTAGCACAGCATGCAATTGCAATCCTCGTCTCCTCAGAGCCTGACCTTCTTGCACACGACCTCACGTGCCCACCTTCCTTTCTACACGCATGCATGGGTGAATTTGGGTATCAATTTCAACTAAGAAATACAGGCAATATCAAACCTAGCTCCGGCCCAAACGTGCAGACGATGCGGCTAGCTAATTCCCGAAACAAGCAAAGTGCGCCCTCACTCCAATGCAACAACAAGCTCGAATAACAAACGCCCTGGAGCATCAAATACCATCCGGCCATGACCTGCTAACATGCTCGGTATCGAGGCGGTGAGACGTTTTCGTACGCAGGCGCATACTCTCTCATCAACTCCTCCATTCAAGATGACAACCGAACACGCTCCGGAACGAGAGGCGATCCCGGATCCCCTCGACAATGCTCAATCTGCACACTGAGGCGCAGGGGTGTTTGTAGAAAGTAGTACCTTATCGGGACCCGCATAAGGCCTACCAAAAGTGTGCTATTTCCTGGGCCGGGGGTTAAGCTGCGAGCAGGAGAGCTTGCACGGCTGCAGTCCCCCGACGAAGCCAACTCAACCACCATACTCGAAGACGAAAACTCGCTGCCCGTACCGTCCGAAACGGACGCGCCAGAGTCCGGCATCGATTCCTCGGATCCGCTGAGATCTCCAGACTCTCCACCACTCTCCTCCTCTTCCTCCTCGCCGACGAGCGTGTTTCCATCGCTCTCGGCCCCGCCACCCTCGTCGTCGCTCTCCTTCGTGCAGCCGTATCCGCAGTCATAGTTGCAGTTCCTCGCCTTCAACTGCGGCGGTCTTTCCGGTGACACGGTGCTTATGTTTGGCTGCATAGGCGAATCATTGCCACCGTTGTGGTTGTACATTCTGAGGAAGATTCCCGAGGGCGATAGCTATGTCAGCGTCAGCATGAGTATTAGCCGGAGTATTAAAGTAGCCATCGCCCACTGAGGCATCGTCTACTCAAGGAGACACGACCTACCTACAAGGCTACGGATATAGCAAGTCTATATGCAATGACGCTTTCAAAAAGCCCCAAGACCAGACAAGACAGTAATGGCTCTCAAATGGTGCAAGCTAATATTACAGACAAAACTTCCACCCAAGATTTCGACTTGTTGGAAGAGTAAACCCACGATCACAACCACAGCGCACCACCGCATCTTTAACTTCACACCCACAAGCCCATTAGCCTCTGCTAGCCGCCCATCCTCGACTCACACCCATCATACTCGCCACCACATAAAGTGACACGTCGACGATTTCCCCTCACCAGCCAGCCTAAAGCCATGCAGCCGACACAGGAAAAGGGACCTCTGGCATCCCGTCACTGGACGATCTCCACGCCTCTGCGCCATGTGAATCAGCAAACAGACGTCACGAAATAGGGCCAAAAAAGACCACCACACTGTCTTTCTTTTCCCCTCTTTCATACACCTCATCGCCTCCTCAGCTCCGACACCAGGGGCGGACCTCCCGTAGTCGTGATTACCCTGAATTATCCTCATGGACAAGGGGGGAATGAGGGCTACATCACCACATGTAGGCAGCAGGACCGAAGGTAACCGACCAAGGCCCTCTGCATTTCAGCCCCCATGGTCCTTTCCCCCCCCCCCCCCTTTTTTTCCCCGCCCCCAATCACAATCATGGCCGTTTTTTAAAGTTCCTTTGCATTCCGCTCACCGGGGGGCCGCATCTGCATTCGCCTGGACGCCGTTTTCAGGCAAAGCGGGGTAAAAAAAAGTCTCCGTCGGTGAGAAGGATGGGTTTAGAGGACTTGTGAGCCAATGACGTGGGGTGGACGGGGATGGGATTGGCTGCCTCGATTTTATCTTTTTTTTGGGTCCCTACGGGACTATGGCGTTTTATGACGGGCGTAGAGTTTCAAGGTGAGTTGGAATAGGAATGAGCTGAATGTAGATGAGATGACGTGATGTTTGAGGCTGGATGAGAAATGTTTGTCATGTGATTTTGTCGTCATAACTAACATCCTGATCGTACGACCGTAGAAATCCAGTCAGATGTATGGAAATTTTGAACTTTTTTTTCTCTTCTTATCAGCTACTTTGGTTTGTTACCCTTGTTCAAACATCTCGCATGTTCTTGCTCTTCTATCCCTTCTATCTCCTGTACACAATGCATACAAAATGCAATAACAATCGGCGGTATCTTTCTCCCTCGACCAAAAAAAAATCCTTCAGTTGGAAATCCTACACTCCGCCGCCTTTCCGTTTACTTATTATGCCACAAAAGCGTCCGTAGCGAATCCCACTCATCCGACTGGACATAACTATTATCTCCCCGTTAGCAATGCGATGCCCATCCAAAAAAAAAATAACAATGGAAAAAATAACCCACATATAACTCATACTACTCCTCAGACTACTCTGCACACTCTCGGGATGCCACCTAAAAATATACATAACCATGGCCCAACTCAAACTCGCAAAAGCCGGCCATCCATTCCGCACAAGCGCACGCCTCATCTCCCCGTTTCCAAACAACTCCCAGCCTTTGACTCCGCCATGTTTGGCCCCAGCTCCAGCGGAGACTTCACGCGGCTGCACGGCGAGTTTGGCTAGGGCAAGACAGACGCGAGCGGCGACGTAGATGACGATTTGCTGGGAGACGGAGTTGTGGATTGTGCGGCCGAAGACGGTGTAGCCGCCGAGGAGACCCGCGAGGAAGGAGTCGTATTGGCGCTCTTTGCCGTTGGGCGAGGTGTGGCGGAGGAGGAGCATGGTGGCTTTGTAGACGAGGGCGAAGAGGCCGAGGTTGCGGGCGTGTTGGCGGGTTGCTTTGTAGACGAGGAGGCATTTGGAGCGGAAGCTACGACAAGGTTAGTATTTTTTTTCTGTGTTTTTTTTTGTCTGTTCGCTGTGGATTAGGTAGGAGGAGGCAGATTTTACCTTCCTGATCTGAAGAGGAAGATCATTCTACGGGTAATGTTAGCGCTGGATTGTTTCTTCGTTCTGTTGTGGTTACAGATTAACATACACGAGTGCGTGTGGAAATCGCACTTTACTTCCATACACGATACCGTTCCTCACGCCTTTTACTAGTGTGAGGACATCGTGGTATTTGGGGTCTAGAGCAATCTTCTCGAGCGCAGCCTATTTTGATTCGCCATTCCTGTCAGTTATCAAGCACGACAAAGGTTCGCAGAAGGATAGCTCGGAGCGGAGTGTATGCGCGAGTTTTCGCAGCGAACGGGGCGACGTACATGGAGAGCGTGTAGTTGGTCCATGGCGGCGGTAATGTGTATGTGTGTATGTTGTCTTCGACTGCACGTGTAGACAGTAGGGGTATCAAGGAGCGTTGTACGTTCGTCTGCGATTGCGACAAAACGCCAGCGAGAGATCGCCAGCTGACGATGCGAGCGAGCCTCGGTTCAGAGCGCGCGCCAGTTGCAATGACGTCGAGTTGCGCCGTGCTATCTTGCAATTCACAATGCTGCAGCGAGACCGGGAATAGGGGGATAGAAAATCAGACAGTGATTATTGAAGAGGAAAGACGCGCATCCTAGGGCTGGGGCAGGAAGTGGGTTGGCGACTATGCTTGCACGGGTGTACCCTGAAGGTGAAGGGTCACAATCGCGTTGCCATCTGCATCCTCGGCTCCAATCTCACATTGCCGCTGCCGGTCGGCCTGGTTTCCCCACGTTGGAGCATCGTTTCGCACTAGACCACGATAGGAATAGACTGGAGATCACAGGATCCTGCTTTGACATGTGAAGGCTCGTGCAGAGTGCAGTTGACATGTGCTTTGGCGGGTTGTCGTCACTTAATAGAGCATACTGAAATGGTGTTTAGTAGCTAATACTATTTCTAAATATAAGAAATAACAGAAATAACTCTATAAGCTAGGCGTAAGACCATGATGGTATCTCTAAGACGATGCCTCAAATCTATGCTTCCTTTTCTCACAAACGCCCTTCCGTCCTCGTTCTCGAGCTCCCATATGTACCGTCTAGCTGCCTTGGACGCTCAAAAAAAATGTTTACACCGTGCTACTCAGACCCGCGGCTGGGCCATCGCTTTTTCAACTCCTCATACACAGTGAAGATGAAAGCAGAACTGGGGATCGATCTTGCAACTGTGATACCGCATCCGCGATACATACCCTTGATGCCGTGTTGTTTCCACAGCGCCTTGCCTACTGCGGTGAAACTCGACTTTCCGCCTGTCAGGTGCTTGACGTCTTCTGTCTGCATTCGCGACTTGATCGTGTCGGCAGGATAGAACATAAAGTTGTATGCGCCACCAGCAACAGAACCGGAAGCCATGCGCTGCCACACACGGAGATCCTCGTCTTTGGTCGACCCGTTGATTCCCTTGAAGATGATCTTCATGCCCTCGTAGCCACCAAACCATGCCGCGCCGCCTCCTGTTTCCCTAATCAAGGTTCCCAGCTGACCGTGCCAGTAGCCGGAAAGACCTTGGTGGCGATAGATCGAGGCAATGACCCCTCGAATTGTTGGAGTAGCAACTACAGTGCCAGGGCTTTCTACAGGGACTTGCATCTTGCACTTAACAAGTTCAATGGGGGTGAGGAACAACGAAGTGATTGCTCCAGCGACCATGCCGCACCAGAGCATGCCTGAGTAGGGCAGGTCTCGTTCAGGGTGCCTCTTCAACTCTGGGTATACACCTGAGGCTTTTAGAGCATCCCCCGCTATGCGATACTATCGACCACGTCAGCGTGGAACATGGTGACTCAAAGAGGTGTAACTCACGCTGAAGAATAGGGTGCTGCTTTCCACCGCAGCCCCAACCAGAGGCGCACTAATGCCTCTATATATTCCCAGAAACCCATCGTGCTGCAGTGATTTCTTGAAGCAGTCCAGCGGCCCAGTGTACCGGAGCGGTATCGTGTCAGGCTGTGACTGCAGACGGACCTTGACCGTGTCGAAGGGGTACTCAATGTACTTGCCAACGATTCCGGCCGTTGATCCGCACAGAATGTCCTTTAGAGCCTCTTCTCCGCTGCTGGTTACATGTGCTGCAGCAGGACGCTGTGCGTCTTCCATGAGAATTGTATTGGGCAGCCCGCCTCTTCCGGCCAACACCCCCACCGAGCTCTTGTGTGCTTCCATCAATCTTCAATATGTATGGTGTATTTGAGTATGTTTAGGACGGTCAAAGTATGCTGGTGGGAAGCAGGGGCATGTTGGGTACCAAGAGTCGTGGGCGGTGAGAGGCGCGGAGATGAGTGTTATGAAGTCGCGCTCATGTCAAGGCTGGCGTGGGACAGCAGCGTACTGAAATTGCAAGTGGAGCAAAGTCAGGAGTGAAGTGACACAAGGAGAGTTGGACGGGACGAGACAGCGGGCCGTGGGTGGTGTGCGACTATGGATGAATGCAACTACACGAGTCTGGCGCCCAACGTGATGCAATCAAGAAAGACTTTTCCCTAGCTCCAAAAAATCTTCAGGGCGTCGGGAGAGGGAATATATAGAAAGTATCAAGGGCGCAGCACCCCTTTGACCCGGACATGCCGCTGACACGGCTGCGATCGCGACAAACAAAAAAATGACCATTGCACATTACTACTCGATGAGGCATGCGCGTTTTCTTTTTCTAATCTTATCAGATCTGATGGAAGCATCACCGCCTGTCGCTGCACACGCCACCCCGCTTTCAGCCAGCCGTGCCAGCCGTACCACTCTGACCCTGGACGCTTTCCGCGCTATCGATATCGGCTAAACTTTTCTTGCGCCGCGACTGTCGACTGCTTTGGCCCAGACGGAAAGACGCCGCTGAGGCTCACGATTGCCCACCACCATCACCATGTCTGCACCCGTCACAGTAGAGGCGCCTCCCGCCACGGAGACGGTGCCTGTCAAGGGCATGAAAAAGAACGGTATGCGCAGCATTGCGAGGACTTGCGCCACACCACCATCTAACCACCTGCGCAGGCAAGCAATGGCACGACAACAAGGCTCCATTCCGCCCACGGGCAAACCAATCTTCGTGGGAGAAGCGCCAGGCAGAGAGGAAGGCTCTTGCTGCAGTCAAGGCAAAGGAAAAGGAGCTCAAGGAGGAGAAGGAGGCAGAGAGACAGGTAGGCAATACGATTGCTCAACTACGCGCCATCTGTGGCTGACAACGAAACAGCGACGAGTCGAGGCAATCAAGACCAAACGGGCAGCTAAGGAAGAACGCGAACGCTTTGCCAAGATGGAGGAGAAGATGCACAAGAGGCGCGTCGAGCGTCTGAAGAGGAAGGAGAAGCGCAACAAGATGCTCAAGTCATGAACGGGGTCAGTGGAAAATTTGTGGTAACACAGCACAATCCAACCGAAAAATGCCGCTTCGAAAGGAGGTTAAAGAAACAGAAGCTGGCAAGAGCAACCGCCCTGTCGTTTCGACATGCAAGATGGACAGGACATTCTCAGTCTACGCTGAAAGGCAGTATGACACGAGCCTTCGTTTTTCCGAATGCAGGCGCAAAAAAAGGATACCCTGGGTTTCATAAGTGGATAGCAACTACCAATCAATTCCCACTATTTCCCGTGCAAACCTGGTAGCTTAGTTACAGAAATGGTCATGACGTGCATTGTAATAGTTCTCCGTCTGAAGAGAGATAAGATGGAACCATAGCTGCAAGCTCGGCAGTAGAACCAGACGCCTCTCTTCTCCATCTCCATTCACATGCTTGTCCGTTGGGGGTTAGCGTAACGAACCCCTGCAATGATACGCGACGCTCGGATGGCAGGCTTGCGACTGTGCAACCGCGCAACCACAACGTCAACTGGCTTCCCGGCCCTCGTAACCTCCACCATGACATGGAGGGATCGCTGCACTTACATGCAGGGCTGGCCGACCCCACGGCATTCCGCCCCACTCTCCGAAGCTCCAGCGCAAAAACCCGAGTGACGTCGGATCCCGTCAAGAAGTCGCAATCGCAATCTCATTCACACAAGCACAAGCACAAGTCGTCGCGTCACCACCACGACAGTCACGATGGCCATCATCGCCATGGCTCGAGTCGGCGTCATGCAGCCAAGGAAGCCATGCAGTCGGCTATCCAGATACAACCGCCTGCTAGCTTTGGAGACCTGCTAAGGCAGGCGCGTGGGAGTAGGGACACCAGCCCCAGCCATAGTCGCAGGCAGAGTGTAGCCCCAAGGCAAGCCGAAGGGAGTGCAAGTGGAAAGGAGGAAACTACACCGGGCATCACCATCCCCCCGCGGAGACCACTCCGGCCCGCAGATATAGAGCTAGAGGAAAAAAGGGTCGAGGCTAGAGAACGGTAAGTTTGCGTCATTGTGAATACTCCGCATTCTCATGCCATGTCCGGAAGAAAGCTTCTTCTAACATGTCTCATAGTGAGCTCCGTGCCGCCCTTCAATCCCTCTCGGACCAGTCTCTCAAGATCTCGCGCCGCCTAGACGATACATATTACTCAGTCCTCGAGAAGATATCCGTCCTGCAACAGACAATTGGTACATTACATGAGCTGTCGGGTCTCACCAGAGAACTACACCAAAACTTCGAAGCAGACACTACAGAACTCGTAGATGATGTGACTGGCCAAGTTGAAGCATTCGACAACTTCGAGACACAGCAAGAGCAAGTCATCGGCCTTGAGGAGCGGATCAAAGCAGGAAAAGAAAAGGCAGATGCTCTGACTGCACGAATTGAACAGGCCAAAGAGCATGTTGACGCCAAAGCAAAGTTAGAAGCAGAATTGCAGGCAAAGAACACCAGTATGAATACGACGAAATTGCCCTGGGATTCAATCAAGCTAACAAATGTTTTTAGATTGTATACGTATCTTCTGGAGTATCGTTGGCATCATAGCCGCCGTCTTCTTTGCTTTTGTCCTCTTCCATGCCTCCCGACCGGTTCCTGATCATGTTGAACAACAAAATACCAGACTGGATCCCGCATCTCGAGATGCCATCTTGAATGCAGAGATACCGGATATTGCAAAAGAAGCAATTATAGGACCACCAACACCCAAACGTAAACCAATCGTCAAAGTGGATAGTGCCAAGCGTGTTCTCAAGGACGACGAGCGTCTCCGTGCATTCGACGAGCTATAATATTTCCTATGGTTTTAAATTTCAAAGATACCCTTTCTTTTCCAATAGATCAAGTCATCCATCTTATACCAAACTTGAAAACTTGCACACATTTCTTCTCCATGACCAACAGTTCCAGTTCCTAATGCCCACTCTTGTCATCAAGTAACATCACATTTACGCCTTTCCAGCGTTAAAAACTCTTCCCATCCAGATGATCCACCTTGATACCCTCCAAATCCACATCCTGCAACATACGCACATTGATGCCCGTAATCCCCGGCATGAAATCCGCTTCTTTCGATCGCAACATGCAAGAGGACCCACACGTACCACAGAAATAATGTCCTACTTTATTCGTAGCAAACGAATAACACTATACCTTCACATCAGCCTTTCCCTTTTAACCTTCTTTTTTCCAAACTTTCTTTCTGGATGTATGAAATGTAGGGGGGCGGAATGGGGGGAAAATGTCATACCTGGAATTCCTCCAACGCCCCCTTTTCAAAAACAACTCGCTCGTTCGCCACGTAAATAAACATGTACCCGTTTCTCGCACAAATGCTGCAGTTGCATTGCTTTATCACTGCGTCGGAGGCGTTGAGCGGGGGTGATGTGGTCACGGTGTAGGTGAAGGCGCCGCAGTGGCAGGATGCGGTGTAGGAAGCTGTTGGGGCTGAGGGCGAGGGAAGGGTGGGTAGGGACATTTTCGTTTGATGTTTGACTAGTCTTTTTTTTTGATGGAGGGTTTGTACGTGTAGAAGAGAGAGATTGAATGGTTTCGTGGTGTGTTTTGATACTTTTGGTTATACCATAGACGCATATATATACATACATATTCGTGTCCACAAGCAGCATTGCGACTTTTTCAGGCCACCTGAATCCAACAGAAAGCCCGTTCTCTACAACAAACCAGACCAGATTCTGTGAGTCACAGATAATATGCACCTACATATGCATTATTGGATTCCCCCGGCCCCCTCCTTCCCCAGTCTGGAAATGGTTGCGGGGTGATCTATTTAACTCGTTTCCTGGTGGCGTCGACTCCTCGCGAATCCACAGCGTGGAATGGCGCCACGGGGGGGTAATGGGGCGTAAAAAGCGTAGCTCCTCAGCTGACTTCGCGTGCGTGTCGCGTCGCTATGGTAACAATGCGTGAAAGGAGTCATTCGGTTACGCGTCTGGCTCGGGCTTGGTGTGTCGAAATGAGCCCATTTTGTTCGGGATAATGCGGTGTTGAATCAAAGTTCGGCTAGGCTGTTGTGCTTTTTTACACCATTTGTTTCGTCTACTGGCTGGCCTGCATTGAACTACGGCAAAGGCATATTGGGTTGGTCATGCTCTTTTTGAACGACAGCACCAAGCCTCATATGGCACAAGTTTTGTTTCAAATATTAGGAGCAAGTATAATTGGTTTGGTGTTGTGAGGCTTTTTAGCTTCAAGCATCTAGCACTACGGCAACTAGTTTACAGAGTACAATTAACAGGGCCCGAACATTGGCTTGACCAGACAATGGCTGTGAACATTATGCCCACAGTTGCGGTACCCTCATATGATAGGCATGAAGGAGTGATATCACGCGAATCTTACCGATTGTGTAGGAAAGGGCACTCAAGCATGACACTAGGTTTAATAAGGAGATTGGCAAGGCAAGGCAAGGCAAGGCAGAAACCCACATACTTATCCTGGTCTGCTCCGTGCAAATGGGACAAGTGAATATGGGTCTTTCGTAAAACTGGACGGCGTGTTCAATCGCCTTTGGATAACTCAGCACACGGTGCAACGACAAGCAACGACATACCTTGATACAGGGAGAGAATAAGGCAGGACGACTTCACGAAACCTAAAGGCGATCAGCTTGGAAAGTGGGTGCAGATTATTTTTGTTACCATAAGTGGTCCTATGAAAATGGCCCGGTGGCAGCTCAGAAGTCCATATCCCTAGCGTACTTCAACGCCGCAATACTCCGATCTAACCCTACTGTGATATACATGATAAGCAACGTAAGCCCGAACCACAAGGACACTGACCCACGACTGCTTAAACCCATAAATTTATGCCAAATCGCTGGATGGAAAAGAAACGCTACCCCAGAATGGTGGCACTGGGGGAAGACAATCAAAAAAGGAGGTACTGGGAGTCTTACGTTTAGATGAAAATGTCCAGTTCATGTCTCTTGACATGGTCTTCCTCAAAAGCAGGGTATGCTGGGACCATGGCATCTGCGTTCTGAACGTATGCATCATTGTAGATGCGCCAATATGGCTGTCGGACTTTGCGAGCTGGATGAAACAAACCGGCCCATACGTAATTCATGACAAGCGGAGTGCCGATTGCGTTGCGAACACCCTCGATGGCTTCGATGATCCTATCGATGACGTGGGGACTGGTCTCGAAGAGGTTGGGCCAAAGTAAGTTAAGCAAGTGAATCATGGCGTCTTCGCAGTCAAGGCCAACACAACCCAGAGCAACGTGCTTGACTACGGAAGCAGCAGTCTGACGATGCACTTGGTCTCGGTCGATCAGAGCATCTTCCAGGAGCGGTGTAATAGCATAGACATAATCCTTGGCCATCTCGCCAATGTACTCAAACATGAAAGACAGTGACTTGAGCACACCGTTCTGTACGTTGAGCTCTGGTACACGGTATTCGTTCATCAGTGCGGGAAGGACAGTGAACGGCGCGCAAGTTTCAGCAACGATACCAATAGCGACAGCTGTACAGACACGAGACTGACGCTCCTGGACTCGAAGGTTACCAAGAAGAGTAGCCAGCACATCCTGAGGACCGATAGCCTTGGCAATGTAACCAAATGTGTTGTTGGCAGCACGTCGGATACCCTTCTTGTGCGCCTTGAGCATGTCCAAAAGTTCGAAGCAGATTCGCATCCATTCACGAGGGTTGACGTAGTTTGCACCTCGGTCGGCAATACGTCCTACAAGATCGATAGTGTTTTCCTGCACCTTTTCGTGTCGATTACGAAGAATGGGGGTAAGCCGGGGTAGGAGATCTTTGATGGGAGGCTGCATGGCATGGAGACCAACGACTGTGACAATAGCGCGAAGAGCACCGAGGATTGAACCAAGAACCTCTGGGTATTCTTCACCAAGGTATTCGTAGAGAGCCTGTGCAAGCTTGATGAGCTGTGGATCCTCGTCACACTTTTGCATGACAAAAGTAATACGAGAAATAAGGTCTGCAGCTTGTTGGCGAACAGTGGCAGACTTGTTGTTGAGCCTAGCAAGGACCGTCGCAACAATCTGTGGAAGATAGGTCTTCGTCCGCTCTCCTAGGGCGTTGACAACAGTAGCGAAACCGTCGATGACGATGGGGTCCTCGATGGTCTGATCCTGGAAAGCGACAAGCACGCCGTCGATGAGTTGCTCCTCCAGACGCTGGTCGACGTCATGAGCGCCCAAAGTGCTAATGACTTTATCGACAGTTTCAACAGTCATCTTGCGATATGCTTCGTTCTCGTCCTTCATGTTGTTGACGATGCGGCCTACAATCTCAGAAACACCAGCCTTTTGTGCCAGGTCCACCGTCGTATCCACTACTTGACGGTAGTTACGCTTGTCGAGAGCCATACGTCGTACCCAGAAATGCTTGAAGAACTCAGGCAAGACGTTATCCTTGAGGTATACTGGAGTGACACCGGCCGTGTTTGAGCACTGAGAAACAACCTTCAACACAACCTTCTTCATTTCCTCATCAGGCGATTGGAACTCGCGGATGACAATCTCCATGATCTGACTGGTGTAGTAGTTGGAGTATTCCTCGTCCATGAGCGGGATAACGTAACCCACAGCCTTCAAGAAAGACGCGAGGGCCTTACCACGCTGACGGCGGGCACCAGTCCAGAGAGGGTTGAGGATCTCGTCGAAAGATTCGATACCATACGGGCTAGCAGCTTCGGCAAGTGCTGCGAGTGCTAGAGCTGTAACCATACGGACCTTGGGCTGCTCATCGTTCAGGTTCTCGCCGATGCAGTCGACAAGTCCTTTCAAATGAGGTAGAATAGCGCAACCCATCAGAATAGGAATCTGCTGGATAATCTTCACACCAGTGTGGCGCGCGTGCCATGACTTCTTGGATCGGCAAACGGCTCGAAGGAAGGGAAGGAGAGCGGGTATACCAAGAGCGGATGCGACGACAGCAAAGGCTCGAGCGGTGGTGTTTCGGACATATTCGTCTTGATGGTCCAGGTCAGGGCGCATCGTACTGATCATGTGTGCAAGACCGGCAGCCTTTGCAAGGTTAGAGATAATCTCACGACCTTCGACACGAGCATAGTAGTCTTGGTCAATAAGAAGGGGTTCAATGACGACAAGAATCTTGTGAACGTATGGACGAACGAGATCGTCAAGCTTGTACAGGACACGGTCAATGACCTTGACAAGCAAATGTCGTTCCTGATCTTCCAGTGTCCGTTCCATCAGGAGTGGCAGAATCTGATTGAACAGAGCTCCGGCACCAAACTGCCTAGCATTGTCTGTAAGTTGTCGAAGCGCAGTCTTTCGCATGGGTGGTGTTCCGTTCTTGACTTTCAGGAGCAGTCGCATGATCTTGCGCTCCTTTAGCTCCTCCACTGTCATCTCGTTCTCGTCGGCACCATCTGTGAGTTTTCCAAAGTACTTCATATCCTCATTCTTGAAAAACTGCAAATCTCCGACACCCGGAATCTCTGTTGGCAGCTGCTTGCCCATGGCAGCCAAGCTGTTGTCTACCTCTGGAATCAAGAAACCCTGGTATCCGGTCGGGAGAGCCGGCATGCCTACTGGTCGTCGTACTGGCTCATAACCTGGTGGTGGCTCGAGGACCTTGTAGCCTTCGGCTTCGCCTGGGAGCATCATGTCGAGCTGCTCATCGGACAGCGGGGCATTGCGGCTCGAGATATCGGTACCAAAGGCAAAGGTTGGAGCGATTGGGTGTGCACCATTCGCGGCGGGAGCAGGCGTTGCAGCAGCCGCAGGGGCTACAGCGGTAGTATCCCAACGTGACCGGGCTGGTGCAGCAGCTTGCTTTGTGTCTTCGGGTGCCGGCGACCATCGCGAGCGTTTCTTGGGCTCTGCCCCTTCTTCCTTGACTTCTTGCTTGGTGGCGGGAGTCTCGTCGTCTGCGACTTCATCCCATCGTCTCCGCTTGCGAGTCTTCTTCATTGGTGGGGTTTTGTCACCGTCGACTGGGGCGGATTCACCGTCTTTGAGTGTAGGCTTGTGATCAAGGACCTCGCTGCCTCCAGACTTTTCCTTATCTTCAATCAGTTGCTTGACACGCGCCTCCTCGCGCTCCAACTCGCGCTGCTTCATGACGTCCTTGTATGACTGGCCGCCATCCTCTCCGTCCTTTGCAAAGGGGTCAGCACGTGTCGGAGAGAGTGCGCGGTCGAATCGTCTTCGTTGGTAGTCGGTTTCGCGTGATGCGATCTGAGCCTGCTTCTCGCGGCTGTCGAGGATATCGGCCTCACCCGCGTCGCCGTGCGCGAACTCGTTCATCATCTCCTTGGATGCTGTGTATTGCCCAACGAGGCTCCGGCCATTGAGTTGGACATCGTCCATGTCGTCGTCTTGGTCAGTGACGGCGATGGAATTGACATAGTCGCCAGTGTTTCCGCCATAGAGCTCTTTGTCAGAGGGCTCCATCAGCGACTGCTTGTTGTTTGACGAATCCCCATTAGTGGCGCCATTGGCCCTTGAGTTTCCTGCGCGCGGGCCGGCCATTTTTGCTGCAGGTTGCGTGACGGCTTGGGGTGATTGGGGTTGATTGAGGGGATGGCAACAGCAGGCCGCGAGCTTTCCTCAAGTTTCGGCGGCCTGATTCGGATTAGTGTAGTAGCTTAGTCATCGCACCAGTCGACTCAGTGATGTGGAAGCATGCGACATCACGTGTTTGGTGCAGCTTAGACTTTGGACAGACAGAACATTCGCGCTTTTGAAAAAGGTGCTAAAACACGACAACTGCATTGCCTCTTTCCAACGCCCACTTCCGTACGTAAGGACATACTACTACACCTGTTACATACTACATGCATGCAACGAGCGGGAGCAGGCGGTTCGCCCGGGCCTTGCGGCACAGCAAGGTAGACCTGCCTCTTTGTACTAAGTATGCCAATTTGCATGGCACCCTAGCCAACCTCTTACAATCAATAGTAGTAGTATATTGGCAACATAGCCACCTACCGGAGAATGCGTCTTTTTTGCACGACCAGTCAGTAAATACCATCGGTTTCCGTGACGTGTTGGTGTGGAAAGCGTGGGTGGAAAGGCTGGCTTACCATAGGTTGCACTGCAGACGGAAGATTTTGCGAGCGTGCGGAGCCGACGCGTTGCTTGCCCCAATGTCATGACAATCATTGACGTCTTAGACGAGCGTCTGAGGTGTAAGACGAGAGTCTCTTCTGGATATGCCTGGGAGGTTCCGAGCACCTTAGCGGCGCCCGGCCTTATTCTCGCTTCTCATTTGTTGGGAGCCACCGATGATCTTCTCATCTACTCAGCAATTCCGGGACGCTTTGGAGAAGCGGGCGTGCTTTTTTGTGTGTTTGTTGTTTTGGCGCTCCGCAACATCGTGGCCCACATCGCAGGGCCCAAGCCGAGCATTGGCACAAGGCTGCGGGCAATGGTCGTCATGCGATTAGGTGGCTTGTTGATCGTCCTGGGACTCGAGACTGCCCCAGCCTCGTCAAAGACAACCCACCATGTCCACACCGCCAACACAGCCGCGGCTGCTTCGTCATCATCAGGATACCTCGTAAATGAGCGTCGAGTGCATGCCGCTACCACAATCAACTTCTGAGATTGGCATAAGCGTCGTACTTTAGTTTGCGAGCAGGCGTTCAGCAGCGAAGCGTACAGAAGCAGAGGACGGGTGCTAAAAATACGTCTCACGTTGCCACGCTAACCATGATCCGCCGAACTACATTGCGTGTGGGCCTCGCAATACGGGCCCTAGCAACGAATGACGGCGAGGCGCAGTGTCGTGCGACCCCGAGCTAACGGTGTGTTACGAAGCTGCCGGCTTTCTCAAGGGCTTGAAACGGATACGTCGGTTGTGTGCTACCCTGCCAGCCACGCAGTAACTTCTGGCAAGCCGAGCCCGGGGATATTGGTTGAGTCGCCGCATGCTACTGATAACGACCGTCGCCGTCCCACATGGTTTGAGGGGTGGTTCCTGCCTCTCGCTTTATTGAGCTGCTCGTGCCCGCGTGCCCGCCCGACCTCTCTCATTATTCTTAATACTATTTCTTCCAGGCATCCCGCCCCTCGGCTAGAACAGCCTCAAAAAAAATGGCGGCTGTGGCGCGCAACTTACCCCAGGATGATGTTCATCCACTGCTCAGGCATCCCCGGCCAATCAAGAGGGATCCTGCCAAAGCACATCGCATGCTCGACTTTATCGCAGGTTCAGAGGAAGCATTGAACGGCTTACAACGCGAAAAATCAGTAACAACACGATGGCTGGAACGACCAATGTACGAGCAGCAGACTTCCCAGGCGGCAGAGCAGTCAAATCAGCCCAAGGCAGAACCAGTACCAGACGCGGTGCAAGTCCAGGAACCATCCAAACCAGAGCCGGCTCTACAGGTTGTCGAAGTTCCCCAAGAAACCCCAAAGGACGACAGCGACTCTGATCTCCTAGACAAATGGACCAACCCGGACAGACCGACATCGACTCTCAAGGCTGACACAAGTTTGAGAGTGCTACCAGACTTGGAGCCCATGTCCAAGCTTAATACTTGTTTTGCCAAACAACGACCACAACCACTCACACGACCAGTGTCTTATAACTCGCAACATCTACTCACACCAGAATGGACCGCTTCACCGACTACCTTTAGCCCCGAAACATCAGGCTCACGGTATATATCATCAAGTCTCGACAATCTGGAAAAACCCAGGAGCAGCATCTCTTCCCGGGGCAGTTTCGAGTGCGACCAAGTACACCCTGCACTACGGAACCGTCAACCTATGCAAGAAACAAAGGACACACAGACGGGGCGTCCCATCTCATACCATCCCCAGAGTTTCACTTCGCTCGACAGTCCACCACTGAAGCAACGCCCACGTCCGACCTCGTTTGCGAACTATCACCAGCGCGTTCGTTCCGGAAGCAAGATTGCCTCCTCACGAGGTCTACGAAACAACAGCTATCCCGTGAATTCTTCAAGGCCGGTGTCTGGCATCATCCCCAAGACAGTTGCCGGAGAGGACATCGAGAATGACACTAGTTATCAATGCTTCGGAGATGATGAGGTCGGCCCTCCTACCCCCATGAAGTCAACGACATCAACACTACCATCGCCACTAGCATTCTCGGCAACTCCGGCAACCCCAGTCCGCAGTCCCTTTGATTCCTTCGACAACCTTGAACTGAAGCCCAAGGAAGAAAAGACCAAACCAGAGAAGAAGAACAAAAACCGCTGGTCTACCATCCCCCAGGCCCTCAAGAACTTCGGCGCACGACGCCGCGACTCCGCCGCCGCCGCACAACAAGAACAACCCAAACTCGCCGCCGTCGTCGACGACCTCCGCAGAATGAAACTCACAGAGGAAAACCTACACACCTACGACCACGAATCCACCCGCGCCTCCGTTCTCTCCAAACGCCAATCCGCCTTCGATCTCGCTCCCACACCCGCATACTCTCCCTTAGACACAGCCACCACTAACCCAGGCTCTCCCCACCTCGTGCCTCTCCCCGCCCCCTTCGCCCCCTGGACCACAAACGCACCACCCAGTCCTGCAATGACAACTGCCGACCGCCGCCGCAGCAGCGCCGCCTCACTCTCTCCCAAGCAAAAACCACTCGGTCTCGCAGTCGACATCCCCCACCAATCCCGTCCTTCATCCATGCACTCCTACACCTCGCGTCCACCCACCGCCGTTACTGCAGACGTACCGCGTATTGGCACCCCTGCCTCACGCCGCAACACACCCGCTATCGAACGCACTTGCATCCTGTGTAAGAGCGTGAAGTCGAATGCAGAGTTCGTAACGCGCCGTATTACCAAGAACTGCTGGCACGAACCTGCGACTTGTGTTGAGTGCCTGCAGGGCTGGGTCATGGAGTGTGCGAGAGGCCCAAGGGGTGTTGACGGGTGCACGTGTCCCGAGTGTGGGGAGGGGATGGCAGGAGAAGACGTTTTTGCTTTTACAGGGATTGCGGCGCCGTGAGTTTTGGGATATCTGTGTTTTTTTCTTGTATTTATATCTTTTTTCCATTATTTCTTTTTTTCTGTCATTGCTTGAGGAGTTTTTCAGCATTGGGAAGGAAATGCTTTCATTCTTTTCTTTTATTTCTTTTGTTTGGGGGATGGGGGGAAACGGAGCGGAATAACGATAATGAACTGGAGGGTGGGAAAGGCTATATTTGCTTGTGTCTTTTTTTTCTCGTTCTCTTTTGTATTAATGTGTAAAATTAGTAGTTTTGGCTTTCTTTCTTTTTTGTAGGGAGGGAGCCGTGGAGTGAATAATACTACCTTTGGCGTATGCAAAATGTTTTACATACATTTATAGTCCTTCATGTTCTACGCCTCAACCTAAAAAGACGATGTCGCATCACTAAGTTTACGAGTGACGCTTTCTCCAAACATGATGCCTCGCCTTCTTTCCAAAACTATGGGCATAATGCATCCGTGCAACCCTACCACCACGCTTCCCCTTTTCCTTCCTGCACGCCCTCTGCTCCCAATCACCGGCACTACCCCTACCCTCCCCTTCTCCATCCTAGCAAATCTTCTCCCCCATACCATACCCAGACCAACGCCCAACGCCTCTTCAAACTTGTGCAAATGCTTATTTACATCGATGAAGCGGCCAGGAGCGATACCAAGTATCTTCTCTGCTATCTGCCGTGAGCCGTGTTCCATTGTAAGAATGCAGTGTTAAGAGATTGGATTAGATGAGTCGGTGTACGGTGGTGCGGTTCTGGGATATCGGATGCAAATGTGGGTAGGCTGGTGAAGTCAGATACTCTGTATCTTCCCCAAAAAAAACGGTCGGATTTATAAGAGCTGGTAGTGGCGATGCGGTTAACGATGTGACTATGGACTTGTAAGCGTCCTGTCCTAGCTGCGTCGAAACGCGGTCCAGGAATATGCATACGACATGCAGCAGCACTCCATTTTACCAGGTCATTGGTAGGGTGTGCAATACCCGGTGCCAAACGATAGGGAGATATTGGTGGTAACGGTTGGAAAGAAGGAACACAAGCCACTGCCTACATATTTTCCTAAGATATATTCTTACCCAGAGTAGCTATAAGAAAGTATTCCATGAGTAAGAAATAGAGCTAAATAAGATCTGTAAAATAAGCTACTAATCTTTTCAAGGAAGGAGGTCTTGATAGAGATGGTTCTAATTTGAAGATCCCAAGGTAGAGACCTGCTTACTAGTCTAATCTCAATACTAGAAGTGCTTATATTACTTCTGCTCTTTACTCTGGCACTTTAATCGTCTCATAACCACTTCTAGATCGAATGGATGGGCCGTAGAAGAAAAGGACCCATGGAATTGGGATACATGTAACAGAAATGAACCCCAATAGACTTGTAGCCCATTCTATCCCTAGACCTTTGTACATTTGCAAGGTAAATAACGGCAGAGCGGCGCCAAGGAGGTACCGAACGAGAGCATTGGCCGCCATCGCACTGGCCCCGTAGAGTGCTTGATAAGTATCAAGCAGGTATGCAGTTGCAGAAATAAATATCGTCGAGTTCCCCCATGCAAAAGGAATTGAAGCAACCACAGGACTCCACCAAGATATCTCTGGTTTAGCAGTCCAGCCAAACCAAAACAACGCAATTGGCACACCGAAGCAAGCCGCCATTGCAGGATAAAGACGATGTTCTGGGGCAACTACCCCGCCCTTGCCGGAGAGTTTGGACTCACGAACACGGGGTTGGTAGAAATAATGATCACAGAGTAAGACCGTGGGTACGGCCAGGGCTCCACCAAGGCCGACGGCGAGGAAGACTAACCCCGAGGGAATTGTGCTGAAGTTGTAGACAGATCGAAAAATAAAAGGATAGGCCGCCATAAACGCAAAAACGACCGAGAAGTTGAACCCAGTATAAAGGCTGAAGAAGCCGACGATTGGTTCAGAGAATAGCATATGCAATGGACGAACGAGTGTAATGGTGAAGAATCGTCTCATCTTGGTTGATGTTGGTGGTCCAGGGGGAAGTGGGATATTCTGTCGTCGTGCTCTCTTCGAGAGAATACTTGCTTTGTATGTTTCCTGCGAGAACGCAAGCACGATCATGGACAGGATCGCAAAAAATATCAACGTCCATTGCGTCCAGCGCCAGGACATCTTGACTGTTACGAGGGAGCCTAACACAGGACTATCACGCTTTATGAGAAAGAAGTTTGTAACCCTAAAAGAATGCGACCTGGTACTTACCCGAATGCCGGGCCCAGAAATGGTGTCATGATGTAGAGCGCCGATGGAGCCGCTCTTCTTTCAGGGACAGTCAGGTCACCAACACTTCCCGTGCCAATGGCTAACGAGGGGCTAAAGGCCATTCCGGCGAAGAATCTCATGACGCAAAGCGTTTGTATGTTTTGCGAGAACCCAGCCCCCACGGTGAAAACCGCGGCCAGGGGCGTAGTGACTGCGTACACAATGTACCTTCCATATGTTTCGGAGAGCGGAGCAGCGATCAGAGGTCCAAACCCTAGTGCTAGAACATACAGAGACTGGGGTAAGAGTGCTACTGTAGAGCTTGTGTTGAACTTTTCCTGGACGATGGGATAGGAAGGTGTATAGATTGATGCCCCTAAGGTCCTATAAATGATCGATTAGCGTGTGGGGTCCTTGGCACAGTGATCATTGGAGTGTCTTTACGCTGTGAAGGAAATAATGGCTGGAGGAACAATATGGAAATATCGCTTCCAGTTTGGC